AAGTTGGTAAAGCCTGAAGGCCCAGGACTGATTCTGCACTGACCTCAGGATCCCCAGGTTTAGTCCCTTGAATTTCCTCTTGTTCTTATTATTCCTAGTGTCTTGCCACACCACCACAAAGTTCTATCCTGTCCAAACCTGGGGAAAAAAGAAGAGAAGGTTACAATTCTGATGCAAATTACCCATAGGTAGAAATTTACCCCAGACATGGAAATACAGTTACAAATCGGCGTAAAAAAAAAGTAACGAGTGGCCCCATGACTTTATGAACTTGTACCTCGTGGCCCTGGATTGTTGGGGGCCTGAATAGGGAATGAAAGGCTCTTTTCCGATTACGGTATACAGTATCATTAATTGCCGATACAGTGGGGTATGCTATAACGAATCTAATTGGTTCTAGAACCTTGTTCGTTATAGCATTCGTTTGTTATAGGATTAATCCGTTCCAGGCCCCCAAATACAACCACTTAACACTGAAAAATATAATATAAAATTGTAAAAATTGTAAAAAAGTGCATAAATATGCATCTAAACCCCTGAAATAAAGAATATCATTAATATTTGTAATAATAAAACAATAAATTAGAAAAAAAAAAAATTAAATTATGTTCGTTGTAGGAGTTTCGTTCGTTATAGCATTCTCAATTTTATAGGTAAAACCGTTCGTTATAGGAATATTCGTAGTAGGATCCGTTCGTTATAGCATACCCCACTGTATTTAGTCAGATGGACTCAAACTATTGAGCACGTGATTGGATCAGAGTCAACATGGTCTCTCATATATGATTGGGGGATTTTCACTATGGTTGATATTACATACAAAACTGATGTGAAAAGCTGTTATATAACAAGAGAAAGAAAGAAAAAAAAAAAGAGAAGAGAAAATGGACACTGAAAACATTGTGTCTATCATGTGTGTGTGGACACACCCTGAAACTTAACAACCACTGCCTCGCTAATTTATGGATTAAGCTTGGTAGGCTACGCAAGTAAACCCCAAATGAAGAATCTGCGGTGGAGCCCTGCATCGGGCAGACACGCTTAGGGAGCTCCAGTAAGACCCCAATGGCAGAAGAGGTGACCAATACAGCAACCCAACAACTACACCTGGCAAATGAAGGCAATGCGAGAAGGGCAGGCTACTAAGGTGAAAACCCATCAAACTGGGATATCGACAGTCCATTGCAACTCTCTCTCTCCCCAGTAGTTGCAGCTACTTGCACCACTAGATCAGGTAAAGGGAGAGCCAAGATGTGGTTGGAGCCTGCGCTCCTGCCTCACAACATAAATCAACTCACGCACAGCCAACATCCAGCTCATCATACTTTTCATCAACATCAAAACTCTTAAACTCCCAAAAGTCCTATGGCGACAGGTGAGTGGCAATGGGGTCTGGCAGAGAGGACGGCTGGGAGAGTCTAGTCACAACTCTGCACATGGGTGGCATAGTTATGATGGTCTTTATGCACTGGGATCTAGGAAGCAGTGCAACCCGATCCTGTCTAAGAGCCCACTCTGCTCACCCAACATGGGGGTGCTAGAAAAGGTGCCCTAAACATACTGTCTAAAAAAAAACAATCTGACAGAGCAACCATACCCAGCAAGGTCATCTAAATGTGGTCGAAAACAATCATAATCACAGATCAAAACAAAAATAAATTATGCAACTTTTTATGTTCGCTGCATGGAATGTCAGATACTGGCACAAATGAGCGTCCTAAAAGAAAAACCACCCTTGTGAAAAAAGAGCTGTCTAGGTATAACATCGACACAGCAGTCATTAGTGAATACCGGCTACCAGAAGAGGGTCAATTTACAGAACGGGGGTCAGAGTATACCTTCTGGAAGGGTAAGCCTGCTGCGGAGAGAAACCATACTTATGGAGTTGGCTTTGCCATTCGCCAATCCATCCTACATGGGCAAACTGAAATATCTGTTGGTATCAACAAATACCTTATGAAGCTCTTAGTCCCCTTGAATTATTCACATCATGCCTTCTTCATCAGTGTATACGCCCCCAACACTAGATGCCGAGACATCAAGAAGGCTTTTTAGCCGACCTTGACAGTGTTAACCTCTATCCCCAAAAGAAGATGAGGTTGTGCTCCTAGATGACGTCAATGCCAGAGAAGCTGATTTATGGCAGGGAACCAAAGGGAGGAATGGAGTGGGTAAGTGTAAACCCAACAGCCGACTCCTCTTCAGCAAGTGTGCTGAGCACAACCTCACTATCATCAATACCTTGTTTAGGCATGCCGACAAGTTCAAGGATTCTTGGCATCACCCACGATCCAAACATTGACATCTCATTGACTACATCATTGTCAGAGAAAGATATCATTGAGATGTCCTCATTACCCGAACCATGCATGGTTCAGACCACTGTGACACAGATCATCGGCTTGGCACGAGCCAAATTCTCCCTTTATGTCACCCCAAAACGATGAAGGCAACAAACTTCCAGAAGAGGTTTTAACACCTCGGCCTGATCGAAACAAAACACCAGGATTGGTTTGATAAAAATAACCAGGAAATCAACGTGCTGCTTTCACTGACTGGTAGAACAACCCTCAATTTCGGACCAAAGCTGATACCTTCCACGAGAAGAAAGTGCTGGTCCAGCGCGAACTTTACAATCTAATGAACGAATGGGGAAAAATAAAGCGTGTGAAATGCAAAAAAATGCAGATCAACACAAGATGTGTGAATTTTTCAATTCCACTAAAACCATGTATGGCTCAATTACTCATGGCGCAACCCCCCCCCCATTTGCTCATCCAATGGTAACCCCCTAATTTAAGACAAAGGCGGCATCCGTTAGAGCTGGAAAGAGCACTACCAATCTCTGCTCAACCGAAACACTGATGTTGAGGTCTTGACTATCCAACAGGTTCCTCAGCACCCAGAGCTGACCCGCCTCAGCTATCCTCCATCCCGGGATGAGGTAGTTACTGCCATCAAGCAGATGAAAAGTAACAAAACCACAAGGCCTGGTGGAATCCCAGCCGAGGTGTAAAAAGCAGGACCTCTACTTACCAGCCGTTTCCACTCTCTCCTAGAGAATATATGGGAGGAGGAGGAAATCCCCCATGTTCTTTAACGACGCCCCCATCGTCAGTATTTATAAGAACAAGAGAGGCCAGTTAGACTGTGGCAACTACCGAAGGGATCTCTCTGCTGTCCGTAACTGACAAGATTATCACCCGAGTTCTCCTAAACAGACTTTTTCCCGAGACGAAAAACTTCCTTCCAGAATCTCAATGTGGCTTAAGACCATCATGTGGCATCGCTCAGATGATCTTTGCTGCCCGCCAGATAAAAGAAAAGTGTAGAGACCCTCAGTCATTTTGGTTGCCAACCAAAATTCATCGCCTTTGTGAGGCAACTCACAAGATGGCATGAATGGCACCTAGTCTGAGTACTTCCCCATCCAAACTGGAGTAAAACAAGAATGTGCACTGGCACCAACTCTCTTTTCCATTTTCTTGGCTGCCTTCCTTACTCGTGCCAGTGCCACTTTAGCCGGGGGGGGGGGGGAGTGGGACACCCTGTACTGGATGAAGGGACTTTTCAACATAGACGACTCCAGGCAGTAATAAAGGTGTCGGCAGCTTCCATTACTGAACTTCAGTATGCAGATGAACTCACCCTCATCGATCACACTGAGCACAACTTACCGGAGATCTTGAACACCTACGCAGATTTGTATGCACACTTTGGCCTGGAGGTGCATGTATGTAAGACTCCGATTCTCTTTCAGCCCGCGCCTGGTTCAACCACAGTTCCACCATCCATCCAGGTTAACGGTACTACTAAAGACTATATACGAAAGATAGGAAAGCTCGAGCTTTTTGGGTGTACGTGTAGTAAGGGTCTCTGAGGCAGATGGCGTTGGTATCGGTGAGAACGTCGTTTGTTTGTTTGTTTCCCGAATACGTCAACTTCGGTTACGCCAAGTTTTTACACAACACTCATGCCTCACCCGTGTTTCCTGTGCGGGAACAGTCGAGTGTATATATAATGCATAATTAACACAATATATGAATGTTAGGGTGTGTGCCGGTTTGGCAACACTGTATCCGTCCAAACGTACGCGGAGGGACGGAGCTCAGTTCCGGCTCAGACGTCTCGATGTGAGGACATGTCTGTCCCCCCTCGTCATCTTTGCCAATAAATGGACGATGCCTTTACTTATCCCCCGAGTTGGCAGTGAGTAGGATATGAATAATAACACAAGAAGCAAAGGTGGAGTTTGAGAACTGACCACCCCCCCCCCTTTTTCGGAGCTAGATTTTATTTTGGGCCTTGCCTATAGACTGTACTCACCCCTAAAGATGTGAATTACACGAAAGCGCTTGGGAACTTCGTGTTTTCTTCTTTCCTTGTGGTTATCAGCATATACCTAGATCACGCGCACCTACAGTGATTTACTTGTATATATATATATATATATAACCTGTGGTGTAATGGTCAGCACCTCGGACCCGAGTTCGATCCTCGGGCAGGGTGAAACTATGGGCAAGTTTTTTACGCCCTTTGTCTGTCTATCCAGCAGTAATTGGGAACCTGGATGTTAATCGATTTGCGGTTCGTATACCTGGGTAATGGTTAGCCAGTGCAGCTGGAGAATTGTCTAGTCTTCTCGGACTATTCCTTGACACTGGTTCATGCAGCTCGTTAACTTAGGGTGTCGTTGTTGTGTTGGCGACAGCTTGTACTCCTTATCAAATTCACGCCTAGGAGGCCCTTGGGCCGGCCATCCTCAATTTCGAGGGGCTTCCATTATTATATTAAAAAACATACACTTTTTGTGTATGTCCGGGGGGGGGTGGGTGTCATGAATATAATAGGGCCTCTGATTAAAATATAAAACCCAGTCACTAAACCACAAGAACATCGCTACATCAAACACTGAGCAACATGGTGGAGTACTGTACAAGTACATGGATCACGCGTTGGGACAGTGTTTTATCATGTGGATAAAACGTCATATCCGACCCGTGGCTTCAGGGTGGGGTGAGCTGCCCTGGGCTAATGGACGAGTGGAGGACTCCCCAGTCAGTCTTACGCCGTCGCTCGCTCTATAGTGATGCGGTAAGTGGGAAAATGTTTTCTAAATAGCTGAAGGAAACGACCAATAATAACGTTAGGTTAGACTAGGTTATTTGTGCTCGGCTAGTTTATTAGATTAAATTATTTGTGTTTGGCTAGTTTGTTAGGTTAAATTAGTTGTGTTTTGTTTGGTTAGGATATACTGTATGGGTTTGGTTGGGGTATATGCGTTTGTTTAGGTTATATTAGAACCTCCTACAAATGAAATAATTTATTCTTCCCCGTCCTTACACCCAAGCACAGACGGGAAACCTCTAGTAGGGCATGAATCTTTAAGGAAGATACGGAATATAATTATGTCTACATATCCCTCGACAAACAGTTTGCCAGAAAAAAGTATGAAAACGGCTGCTGAAGATCAGAAGACATCAAGTAGTCAAAGTACAGGAAGATTAGCGTATAGCAGTCCTCCGTATTCCCATCAGAGGGGGCAGAAGGCAATATACTTGTAATAATATGCATGCTTTAGTTTTAAGTAATATTTTTAACCCACAGGAATCAAAACCCCACAGGATAAAGGAGAACGATTCTACTAACCCTCAAGGCTCACAGCCTTCATGGATGACAAATACATATCGTGGCATAAAAGTGTTAATACATAAATGCCAGGAAGTGTTGTGCGGGTATGTGAATATATAACAAGCCCGAGAAGGCTTAGAGTGAAGGACTGCGGTCGCCAATCCTTCAGATATGAGGACGGTACCTAGATTGAATGGATGGGCAATGGAATAGTCTTTTTCTACATGAATAGAAAAGCTTATTCATTGTTATTTTTCATATCCATCATTGTGTTTCCGAGATATTTTCTGCTGTATAGTACCTTCCGCTAAATGACACGACTCAACGTTTCGAACACCGATTCAGATGATTCATTCAACTGGTTGTATGAAAATACACACAACTGTTTTTTATGACGCAAATATGATGGCCCAAAAGGTGTTAAAACTGTACTGAGACGCGACTATAAGTGAAGAGATAAAATAAACGTGCAAGTCATTGAAAATCTTTACTGTTCCCCCAGTCATATTTTAAGCAACATTTGTTTTTGACCAGACTAAGCTTGCTGTAGGAGCTTCATAATATTTTGGTAATACTAAAATTATCTCCCTATTTCTTAGCCCTCTGTTCTCACTACTGTACCTCGGTAACGAAGGAAAACTTGCTTTAAACTGAAATTTAATTTTACGAGAAAAATACTCAAATAATACAGGTGTTTAATTGGAGTCATTATGAGTAGTAGCTTATCTTCTGAAATAATAGTCCAGTAATGTGGGGTTACGGCAAGAGATTATTGTGTTATAGGACAACGAAAATGCAGTACTGTATTTTTTGCGAGACAACTCGACTGCGAATATGGATCCGGGGGTGAAGCAGTTTTATTTATATATATATATATATATATATATATATATATATATATATATATATATATTACGGATTGTCAACTATACCAATCACCATTTTTAACCCACAGTTTAAATTAAGTTATCGCCGGTGTGAAATGTATGACTAAATATTAATAATTATTTATTATTTTTAATCGTACGAACCCTTTGAATTTATAACTATCTTTAAGCTTAAGTCAAGTTTATGTTTATATTTGATGGTAATTCTCGGGTATGATGGAGATTTTTTTATATCCTAGAAAAACATTAAATGTTGACACTGACTCGCTTATTCTGTATAAGTACAGGTTGACCGTGACTGTGGTGGTCGTGGCGGCTGTGGCGTGGAAGACGGTGGTGTCGATGTGTCCACCATTGAACAATGACAAGTCCACCCGCCCTGAGCCTTGCCACTGGGCTAAAAGTGAAGAGAACAGGGATGCTTTCCTAGATTGGCTAATAGGAGGCTGCGAAATCCAGAGTTCCAGGTAAGCACAATTTTTTCTGAATTTGCTAAGCTAGGAAGTAACACAAACACACAACTTCAGTGGTATCAGTGCCGGATTTAGACCTGTGGAGGCCCATGGGCAGCCTCTTTGTGGAGGCCCCCCCCTCATTATAACTACCCAAGAGGGTGGGGTGGCGAGTGAAGCGAGCCTAAACATCTGGGAGTTCCGGGGGGCGCTGTAAGCCCCCCGGGAAAATTTTGAAATTTGAACATTGAGAAATTTTTAATTAACTGTATATTTATTGATAATGTACAAATTCCCAACACACACACAAAAGTGAGACATGACTGGAGTCATTCATGTGGTTTCAAGTCGACCAGCCCTGATATAGCTACTACCGCACATGTGGAGGCCCCCAGATTGTGGAGGCCCCTGGGCAGCTGCCCACTTTGCCCACTCCTGAATCCGGCCCTGAGTGGTATCCGCTCATACATTGTGTTCCTTGTTCTCTAACTTATAGTATCTACAGTAAAGCTTGTGACAGATCTCATCTTAACTTGGGAGGCAATAAAGACCACCTACGTTGTCTATGTAGACTCACCACAGAGGCTTCCCTGTGGCAAACACCTAGGGATATTCTTGCCGCCCTCACAGGAGTGCCGGAAAAATCTACCAATAATTTGTCGGGTTCCCTGGTCGTCTTTGTAAGCGGCTGGTATTCCCTGATATGTGGCACTATCCGGCCATTTCTGCGTTCACCAATTAAAGGTTTTTATTTCCGCTAGGAAGTTAAAGATCCCATTTATGTATTCCTTTTAATTTGTATGCGAAAACAAAACTTCAGCTCAAGGATCAGGCTAACTTTACAGAGTAATGCCGCCAAGTAGCGTGGTCCCCTGGTTTAATAAGTGCAACAGGCAGTTAAGTAACTTTTAGATGTTTACGCTTTCTCACTCTAAGTATGCTTGTTTTTCCATCGATTCTTTACAAACTTTCAAATATCTGTATTTAAGTCATGATGTAAACAACTATACATCCATTTGCAGTCGTTTATATGAACTTTCTTATTAATAAATATATTAATATACTGAACTAATGATTAATTTTAATTAATCGTATATATGTTACGTTTTTTTTTTGCGAAATCGGTTATTTTGCAAAATGACCGGCATGCATATTGGTAATTTTGCAAAATAACTTACAAACAGACAACCTTAACTAACCTAACCTTATGGTTAGGACAGCACATAGTCCAAAGTAAAAAAAGAAAAGAAAAAATGAGACCACTTAACTGTGTATCAAGCTACACGAGCCATCCTAACCTAACCTTATTCAGCCATAAGGTTAGGTTAGTATAGGTTGTCTAGGTTATTTTGCAAAATTACCAATATGCATTTCTGTGATTTTGCAAAAAAAAAAAAAAAAAAAAAAGATTCCACATACATACATACATACATACATACATACTGTTACGCCGTCTCTTAATTTACTTAAATATCCAGGTTCTAGGCGTAACCAAACAAAAATATGAAGTAAATTAAAAGGGAAAAAAATAAATAAATTAAACCTTTAAGAATTTATAATTAATTAAATATTAACACAATAAAGAGCCTCGTAGGCCGTCACAACAAATTGATTCACCATCGAAACTTTTAAGACACAAATGATACTAAACATCGAAACATCAAAAGAATAAAAATAAAGCATTGGATTACGTTAACACTGCATAAACATATAAAAACTATCACTGAAATTAACTAACGTGAAACAACACTGAATTACTTAAATGTATCTAAGCAAATACTGATGGACATAAATAGACATAAATAGGTACTCACATAGATATACCACATTGGTGGCGACAGGAACAACACAAATAAATTAGGTATAAGTAACAGGTAACGAGTGTCACTCAAAGGATGTGGACTGTATGATAAGAGGACTGAACTGACTCAAGTCAGTTGGTGGGTCCTATATATAAGGTCGGCTCCCGCCACGCGACCCGCCGGTGGGTCGTTTAACGATGCAGATGGTCGTTAGAGAACAAAGAATGCTTGTTACAATACAAAATAAAGAAATAAGATGTGCTTGAACAAATAATGACAGTTAAAACCTTAACAGCACAGGGTAAGGTGACTAGAATATATAATAGTAAATTTAACACATCATTACAGGAATAATATGGAACATGGGAGCATGTTATATATAAAAAAAAATAGAAAAAATACGACACGGTCGTAACAATATATATATATATATATATATATATACATAAACAGGTTATTTACCTTCAAACTATATCCCCATAATAGCATTCATTCATTCATCAATGTACTAATTTAGACGTACAAGAGACAGTAACCGTCAATATGCGAGCGGCAGAGGTCTGGGTGTGAGGACGTTCTAGAACAGGAGGTTACCGATAGTCAAAGTTACACAACGAACCAAGAGGATGTCGGTGATTACTTAGACGTGGGGGTGTGTGGTTAGGGGGATGTGGTAGGGGTGTGTGGTTAGGGGGATGTGGTAGGGGTGCGTGGTAAGGGGGTGTCTTCCAATTACCCCCAAGAATTTTCCCCGAGCTAAAAATTAATCTTATATCTTTACCATAAAGTTTACGTACATCTAAGTATGACAAAATTTTCACCAAAAATTACAATAGAAACAAACACGGGACCCTTACCACTTGGTCTTCCATTCACTGCTGTGTTTTCTTATTGTTACTGCGATGGCTGACATTTAGGCAACACACTCCCTGATATTACGCGTCTGTCACGAGGAATGTACGGTATCCATATGCTTGATCACGAAATTCGGAAATCCCTTTTCGTGGTTTGGCCGGCAGTGGCTCGTCCTTTCGTTCGCACTAAGTTCAGGAGACTGACTAGTACCTCCTCACTCACCTCACACTGCTCACAGGCAGGTCTTCAAGAAACCCCCCCCTCCCCCCCCCCAAAAAAAGCCCACTGCTGAGCAGCGTAATGACCAGTTTGCAGTTGCACACAGTAGTGCTGTACTATATTTTTCATATTCCAGAATAATTTTTTTTATTCATATTGTCTAGAACAGTGTCGCACTAGCTTATTCTCTGCTACTTTGATGGTTTCTTTTGGTCAAATTTATACCTCTCTGAAGATATTAGGTTCGGTTCATCGAGGTCTGCCTGACGAGTCCCACCGAATTGTGAGAGTGAACTTTCCGTTTTCATTGTATCAGCTTCATAAATATTAAATAGATGATAGTATTTATTTTTGCTAGATTTTTTACATCTTTTTATCTTGAAAAATAGTACTGGAAAGAAACAAGCTTGATGATTGTGTGAAAGACGGGAATTATGAAATGCAGTCAGTGTGACCTTGGCGACCCTGTACATTGTTACACTGTAGAAGCATATACATTTCGTTATCGCCTCCGGGACAGCACTGATGCAATGGTTGAATATCAGTCATCTCCAAGAACTAGAAAAAATATTTTTTCTGTTTTATTCGTCAATCGAAATCAGAAAAAAAGTCGTCTTACTGTTCTAGACAATAAAGTTTTGAAAATCGTGAGTTTGTAGCAGTTTTACCATGGAATTGAGCGAGTTGTAAACATTTGTACCATTTTATGTTGAACAAAAATAACAACAGCAGATTCATGGGGGAAATGGGCGCAATTCTCTCCTAGATTATCTCTTGTTTCATTATTTAACATCGAAATTATCACAATTCTCCCATTTGATAATTAATATATATTTTTTCCCATCTTGAGAAATACAAACATTTGATTTTTTTTTCTTGATTAATAATTCTAAGCGTTACGGCGTGCATTGCAGTTCTAGGGAGTGTGGGGATTTTCTCGGCACCTTCGATGAAAGTCTTACGAATTTTAGAGACATTTCTAATATCTAACTATTTTAATTTGTCTCTTATTGTGTTTCATGACTGTTTTAGTATTATGTATGATAATAACATGATAGGTGTAGGAACTAAGAGTTGAGTGGGTTTGTTTTATTTTTTTTAGAAGACGCTGTGAGGCAAGAGTGTCTATCATGGTGTGAGGCAAGAGTGTCTATCATGGTGTGAGGCAAGAGTGTCTATCATGGTGTACAAATCGTCATCTGTACCTGTAACAAGTGGGGTACCGCAGGGTAGTGTATTGGGCCCGCTGTTGTTTGTTTGTTTCATAAATGATATGCCTGACGTTGTACACTCCTCCATACAAATGTTTGCCGATGACGCCAAGTTATTTCGGGAAATTAAGAACCAAGCGGACTGTGAAGAGCTGCAGAAGGACCTCTGTGGGCTCCAGGAATGGTCGAAGGAATGGCTGCTGAGATTCAATGTCACGAAGTGTAAGAGGATGCACCTGGGGCGTACCAACGGTAAGGAGGCGTACCATATGTCCCAACGGGATGAAGAAAATGTACTAGTTGAGACTGTGTGTGAGAAGGACCTAGGTGTGTATGTTGACAATGAGCTGAAGTTCTCGGGCCATTGTGAGAAGAAGGTAAATCAGGCAAATAAATTATTGGGTCTTATAAGAAGGTCGTTCAGATATCTAGACGGTCCGTCCCTCGTGACGATCTTCAGGAGTGAAGTGCTTCCCCATCTGGAGTACTGTCACCCCATCTGGTCCCCGAGATATGCTAGGGACTGTCAGTTGGTTGAAAATGTTCAAAGGAGGGCCACCAAACTGGTGCCTGCACTTCGGCATCTCAGCTACCCTGAGAGATTGGAGCGCCTGAACTTGCCTAGCTTATACTACAGACGGGCAAGGGGGGACCTAGTTGAGGTTTATAAGCATCTCAGGGGGCACTACTCAGTTGAGTGTCCTTACTTGGAGCTGGCGGACGCTCGCCCCACAAGGGGTCACAGCTCAAGATTGAAGAAGCCGCAAGTCCAGAAAACCGTGAGAGCAAACTTTTTCGGAGTGAGGGTTGTAAACTCTTGGAACAATCTACCAGAGAGTGTTGTGACGGCACCGAGTGTGAGCTCTTTCAAGAGAAGACTTGACCAACACTGGAGCGGGTTCAGGTACATTCAGGAGCCGGTGCATGCCCAGTATTTGCCAACAGTGCGTGACAGAGACGTGACCGATCGCCCGGGCGGCTAGCGAGGCGACCTTTTGGTGAAGAATATAAAGGAAAAGAGACGTGACCGATCGCCCAAGCGGCTAACAAGCCGATCAGTGGCGAAGAGGATAAAAGTATGGTGTGAGGCAAGAGTGTCTATCATGGTGTAAGGCAAGAGTGTCTATCATGTTTTTTGTTTTGTTTTCTTTTTTGCAGGGATTAGCCCACCCGGCCACATCGGGGACTGGGAGGCGAAAATGTAATAATAATAATAATAATAATAATAATAATAATAATAATAATAATAATAATAATAATGATTCATAATAAATAAAATATTTAATAATAATATTAATAATAATGATTCACAATAAATACAAAATTAATACTAACAATAATACTACTACTAATAATAATAAAGAAAATGAAAAGATCAAAAGTGAAAAACAATAAAATTATGTAAGTTGTGTTGTCAATAGTAAGAGAAACGATTGAGACCCTGCAATTGTGTGTGAATGAGGCAGAAAGGCAGATCAGCAACCTGGGACTTGGTCACAATTTTTCGTGATGCCATATGGCAGCAGGGTCTACCATTAGACAATACACTATGCTTCCAATATCTTCCCAGGCGATAGTGGCCCCCTGTTTGGCAGCTGCCTACTTGTGGTTCATTATGTCCATTACCGATAAATATACGTAATTAATATTTTTTTTTACATCCGGTCGAAATGCCTCTGTTTGAGTATAACTGCTCGAGTCTTGCAGTTGTTGCTAGGCGAAGAGGAAAATTCTTATGGAAGAATATTTCACAGGTAAATTCTTAATAAAACTAGACCCTAGCGGAGGTGGCCGAGGCGTTGGGTTTGACTAATTCTTGCTTTTGAGAAAAAACAGACATTACAACGGATTTATTCATAAGAACACACACACACACTTTATATATATATATATATATATATATATATATATATATATATATATATATATATATATATATATATATATATATATATATATATATATATATGTGTGTGTGTGTGTGTGTGTGTGTGTGTGTGTGTGTTTTAAGAATACGAACGTTATCTATTGCGTATTTTTCTTTCAAAATATCAATTTTGTTTGTAGTATTAGGAAACTGGCGGATGTGAGTGAATCCCGTATGACAATCACAATACTTAATGCTAGTCATCATGGTGGATTACACTGTAAGGACGATTCACACACACACACACACACACACTTACACACACACACACACACACACACACACACACACACACACACACACACACACACACACACACACTTACACACACACACACTTACACACACACACTTACACACACACACACACACACACACACACACACACACACACACACACACACACACACGCAGAGTTTACATAATATTTAGGCCATAAATAACAAGACAACAGCTAAAAGTACATTAGTGGTATAAATATTAATATAGACACAAGATTGTAACTCAGCGAAAGGTCAACCACACACCGGACGTTATGGAGTAATTTCATTTCCTGTGACAATAACATCCTACGACGCCAGACGAGAGCCACAGCACGTGCAGCACTGAACACAATAATTATCGACACACTAATTATAATTAGTGTGTCGATAATTATCGACCTTTTATTTTTTAAACGTAGGGATACTTATTAGTATCCTGAATGTATTTGGCTGCTATTCGAGTTTGACGAATCCATTTGTCGAGTTACCCGATGTTTGGGGTTCATCTTCGGACTTACTGCCCCAAATGTTAAAAAAAGCCTAATATGTACAGTATACATATTCCCACCTCGGTATTTTTAGGGGGTCAGCAAAAATGACTACTGACCACCAGAGTAAATAATTATAATTCCAACATCATTCAAGTTACAACCCTTTAAGCCCTTACAGACTGACAACAACAACTTCTCAGATAATATACAAGTTGAAGTACCGATTTAGGCACAAAACACAGGCACAGTGCCATACATTATTTACCATATATGTGGACAAACTGTCCTGGTGGTGTCTGACAGTACAGTCGCAGTCAAAAGTAATCATACACTCCACCACTTGCGCCTGGCAGGGTCCTTTCTGCACGGCAAGTTACCTGGGGTAGAGAGGGGAATGGTTTACTTTGGACGGGGGCGTTTGTCGGGGTGTGGGAGGGTGATATGCGATGCAAATTGCTCATCGAAGAGGGAGGGGATTGAAGTAAGGAAAATTCATGAATGAAGGTAGGGAAGGATGGATATTATTTTTTTCTTCTCACTATTTCAGGTTTACATGCTTGAAAGAGTAATTCTAATAGATGGAGGACCCTTATCTTATGATCATTATAATGTGAGATCCATTTCCTTATTTATAATTTCTTTTTTCAGGTTGTGGTTCAGGGTTTAAACAATTAGATATTTACAATAACGTTGACAGGAGGAAAAATTATGAGGTTTTAAATCATATTTATCTTTAATATTTACAAACACAGGTCAAACAGAATTTCAATACTCATTGCAGTTTCTAACAATGATTACTAAGATTATTACTATTACTCAAACTACGACTACTACTATTACTACTAACAATGAGCAGAATATTTAATATTATCATCATACAAAAGTTGATAATGAACATCAAACATCAAGACGCGCTGTCATTACTGCCTACGAGAAGACAACTCATCCATTTATAGTTTCAGCGACACTGTAACTACACCATGTAAGAGATGACCAGAGAAAGTTATTAGTCAGTATTTTATGTCGTGTCTTTATCGCGTGTTTAACTTATTACCATATCTCAGTATTGTCTGTTTTATTCGGGTAGAGGCAACTCACCATCTCAACCACAACCTCACTATAACTCTCTGACTGTGGTTGTATTTATAGTAGTTGTCAACTACCATTACCATTATATAACTTCTACTGACCAAACTGTACTTCTCTCTCTCATGGTTACTTGTATTGATGGTAGTGGTGGCGATGTTGGTAGCTAATCATTATTATTATTATTATTATTTCCACTACCTTACTACCACCATCTGCTCCTAGGTGGTGGTAGTTAAGCATCATTACCACTACCATACTGAGCCTGGTTTCTTCTTAGATGTAGTGCTGGTGAGGATATTCATGCAGTAGAATACGAGGGTTATGATGGCTGGTACAACAACCTCGCCCGACCTAACCAGGGAGCTGTGGGTGAGTAACATTATCTGCCTACCTTATTGAGAGAGAGAGAGAGAGAGAGAGAGATTTCTTTATATGTAAGTCACCATAAGCCCACATAATACTTCCTCTCGTGCAGAACTACTTTCCCTCACACAAGCACTCTCTTATAAAGGCTGTTACTGTTCTTCCCCAACAGACACTCCCCTGCTGCGCCTGCTGCCCCCAGCGTACAGCGATGGCGTATACCAGCCAGTCAAGAGATCCACCAACCCACTCACCCTCAGTCAAATGTTCATGGCTGGCAAGAGCGGCAGTATTTCCAAGGGTGGCAGGACGGCCTTCCTCGTCTTCTTTGGTGAGATGATGCTCATCTGAGGCATTTTTGTGCTTACATTCACATCCATGTTTAGTCCAATCTCGTATACAAATAAGTGTCCATGTCCTTGTTCTCTCACAGCAAGCAACTCATCACAATATTCATATCCACATCAATCCATGTACAGTTCTATTCGTGTTTCTATTTTCATGTTTGTTTACATATCTATAACCATGTTCATTTTCATATTGGTACTGTATTCATAAAATGGATTCAGTGTAATGCACTGAGGTACATACTTCACCATGTCTGGACACGATGAAAACCCCAGGAGTATTTTGTTCACCAAGTGCAGGGACTTATGTTCTGAGTACGATAACTTTCTCCAAGTAAGTTATCGTTCATTACTGGCGAGGAGAGGGTTGTTCTTTTGACATTTTCTTTAAGGAAAAGCAAGAATTCCCATTGCAGGGTAAAGGTAAAAGAGCACTTATCAATTGAAGATGAAACAGGTTTCCCTAACCCAGCATGTTATGTACTGGGCGTGAGTGCGGGGGGTAACCGTTCCCAAGGCAGAGAAGTAGACTTGGGGAAGGAAAGGAATCGGGTGAGGTTGACATTTACCCGGGAGCCCCGTACACCATTTATCCTTACAACAGACACAAACACAGCTCCTCCTACCCATCAATACGCTGACCGTGTGGCTCAAGAAAGTTTTGGTTCACCGGTCACGAGCGAGTGAGGCAGTCAGCGGTGCTTGGCTTGTTTAATGCGGCGAGTTCTGTCTCTTATATTTTAATTGTTGATGTACAGTCAAAGACAAAAGTCGTGTCGTGAAATTTGGTGAAAGCATATGCCGAAGGGCTAAAACCTTTGGTGCGCTCTGTCTTGTGGTAGGGCTCTCATAATGTTTCACGAGATATATTTAATCTTCGGTCAAAACCGCGACACGACTTTTGTCTTTGACTGTACAAGCGTAATTAATAACTTTGTCGCGAGCTAAAAGACCTTAGTTGTTAAAGAGTAGTGATAACATTATAACGTCAACGAGTCCCTTAAGATTACTTTGTCCATAAAGATATGAGTGCCCGGGCTATAGGGGCATATGTAGCCGAATGTAGGGAAAATGGCACAGGAGAAAATAGCACAGGAAAATGGCACAGAAAAAAATGGCAATAGGAAAATATGACACCGAAAAAATTGACATAATCATCAGACTTGGAAAAATTGGCACATTAATTTTTATTGATATGTTTTCGCTAAAATTTTATAACCCAACCTAACCTAACCTAAACTAATTTAGCCTATGCACGCCGTAGCTCATTAGCTGGTTTGTGGTTCGTGAGCTCGAAGTGAAATTTGTTGAGCCGTTTTTGCCTAGTGTGAAAATTGTGCCATTTTTTCTGGTGTCATTTTCCCGAGTACCAATGTATGTAGCGAGCTCCGGAGGTGGTTAGTCAGAGGAAACGTTGAAAGATTCACTTATCTACTGTAGATGTTGGCACCGCACTTTACACAGGTGGTCACTAAACCATTCCACTCCAAACGTCTTAACTGCAGCATCACAAGAACCACATAAACACCAAAATAATTCACACAAACTGAGTACATTGTTGTAGCCTGGGGTGCAGGTAAGGGGGTGGCCCGGTCCCCACCCATTTTGCCAAAGGAAGCTTTCATAATAAATCAAAATCACGTGGGGGACAGTTACTGTGCTGTTACAATGCACATTACTCACATATTGCCTTTTATTGTGGGAAGGCAGGGTGGTAACTCAGCAGGGTGTATCTGCACTTACTCTACCAGCTGTGAGACCTGCTCTAACTCTGTCACAGAATTTTAGCAGTGAAATAATCGAGAATAGAAGCTCATTGTATTTGAACAAGACGTAAGCAAATAACATTGTTTTGTTTATTGACAATCCTCCAACAGACTCGGGTAACATTTTGCACATACTGTATCGCAAAATAATGGATTCCAGATAGCAGTTTTGTCTTTCCTGTAGTTGATAAGGGCAAAAAACGTAGTTTCCAGCATTCTTATCTCCAACCTTACTCGTAGTGAGTAAAGAGAAAGGATTTTGCCGTCATTGTGTCATATTTGCTCGGCGTTTTGGGGGCCGTGGAAATCAATAGCTTGGGACCCTTGTGCTGAGGCCTTTAGTCAACCTGAAGAAGACTGCAGAACGATCATGGGACTCGATAGCTCCACTTGTTCTCTATGGTGCAGTCAGAAGCAGTTTTATTGTAAGTAGCCAAGGACCATGCTCCTCTCTATCATTTGATGAATATCCGAGCCAAGACTGAAGCCGAACGTCATGAACAGGGAAATAAGGCATATTCTGCTGCAGTACTCCCCACAGTAAAAACTGTAATATTTTGTGGTCAAAATATACCAGTGAGAGGAGTAGCAGGGTGATGCAGTGTGGTGGACGGGTTGACACAGTGTGGTGGACAGGGTGGTAGGGTAACAAAATGTGGTGGACAGGGTAGCAGGGTGACACAGTGTGGTGGACGGGTTGACACAGTGTGGTGGACAGGGTGACACAGTGTGGTGGACAGGTTGACACAGTGTGGTGGACAGAGTGGTAGGGTGACACAGTGTGGTGGACAGGGTAGCAGGGTGACAGTGTGGTGGACAGGTTGACACAGTGTGGTGGACAGGGTGACACAGTGTGGTCGACAGGGTAGTAGGGTAGCAAGGTGACACAGTGTGGTGGACAGGGTAGCAGGGGTGACACAGTGTGGTGGACAGAGTAGTAGGGTGACACAATGTGATGGACAGGGTAGCAGGGGTGACACAGTGTGGTGGACAGGGTGATGCAGTGTGGTGGACAGGGTGACACAGTGTGGTGGACAGAGTAGCAGGGTGACATAGTGTGGTGGGAGAGTAGTAGGGTGACACAATGTGGTGGACAGGGTAGCAGGGGTGACATAGTGTGGTGGACAGGGTGACACAGTGTGGTGGACAGGGTGATACAGTGTGGTGGACAGGGTGACACAGTGTGGTCGACAGAGTAGTAGGGTGATACAATGTGGTGGACAGGGTAGCAGGGTGACATAGTGTGGTGGACAGGGTGACACAGTGTGGTGGACAGGGTGACACAGTGTGGTGGAGAGTGTGACACAGTGTGGTGGAGAGTGTGACACTGTGTGGTGGAGAGTGACACAGTTTGGTGGAGAGTATGGCACTGTGGTAGACAGGGTGACACAGTGTGGTGGAGAGTGTGACACAGTGTAGAAGACAGGGTAGTTGGGTGACGCACTGTGGTTGATGGGATTATGTGGTTGACAGGGCAACAGGTGGTGGAGGAGATACTGGACGCCCAAGGTGCAGGCTGTCCTCCTGAGTACTTCAACATCAAGGTCGAAGAGAACCACAGATACCACACAGATCACCCACACCTGAAGGAACTCCCGGTGCTGAGGACGCGTTACGACCAGACCACGGGCTTCTCTCCTAATAACCCCCGCCAACAGGTGAGGATTGGTGACCACTAGTACGTCAACACTGAGGTAGTGAACCATCTGTAGTGGTGACAACACTGAGGTATACGTCACTTAACTTATCTAGTTATGTTTAGTAGTATTCATTCGGACATAAGGTTGTATGACAGTATTCTTGTTTTCGGACTTATTTTTAATTTGGAAACAACTATTAATCCCAATTTTAAAGAAATATTTCTTAACCCATTCAGGGGGGGATCCAGGAATATCAAAAGGGGGGTATCCAGGTAGTTGTGGGTGGGGGAACAACATAGCGAGCATAGCGAGTCCACTCAGCTTGGGCGGGGGGATGCAAGTCCCCCCAGAAAATTTTGGCCAATATCATGGGCATTTTGAGGTCATGTACACTTGATATTAGGAGATATTCTGAGGTTAATAGCAATTACTTTTTAGCCTACAAAAAGGCCTGAGTACAATACTGCATTACAAAAAATCTTGTAATTTTATGATGAAAAGGGAGGGTCCGGTCCCCCTGGATCCACCCCTGCCATTTCCTTCACATTTTTGTCACTTTTCCAGTTTCTGTAGTGCCTCTTCACTGCCTACAATAACAACTATCGCTGGTAGCTACTGAAAAAAGTCTTGACATTCTGGGAAGGCAAAAGATGAGGCATCTTTTGCCTTCCCAGCACGTCACAGATTTAATATTCTCTCGATTTTTTTTTTGGGGGGGGGGGGCATTACAATACATTCATGCTATTCAAAATTTACTATAATACATGAAGGGGAGGGCGGCCGAGTGGACACAGCGCTCACCTTTTATCCGAAGGGTTTCTGGTCTGATACTGAGATAAGCCTAGTCCATCCACTTCTAAATGGGAAGCTAATTTTACTATACAGTACCGACCACACAGACTCATTGTGTTGTTTAAAGTGTGCTGTATATCCACACTGTCTCAATCGAACTGTTAAGGCTTTTAGTAAGTCTAGATTCGGATACAGTGAGGCATCTCTTGTCAGGAGTCAAGTAAGAGCGTCTTGATGGTGAATGAAAGTACACCAAGAATCAAATTCCAAAGCAAGAATACCTTTACTGGTCGGTGAACACTGGTAGGTCAGGAGGGCCCACTGTAGAGGCTCACCACCCCAATACACATTATCTTAGAAGAGTCTTCCACATCACAGCAGTCATTTAACGACGACTGTACCAGAATCAATGACTAAACGATAATGGCTTTATACACCGACATTTGTTGTTACTGTTTAGTAATTGTAGGAGTAATGGTAATAATATATGTAAACAATAGCGATTATGATAACAGTTATTACATCAATACTACTACTACTACTACCACCACTACTACTACTAATAATAATAGCAATACTCTTATAAACTATACAACATTACCTTATAGCAAGTACAGTATGTATATTCTCGTCACTACACCCCAGAATTAATGTCTCGTAATGTTTACGTCCATACCTAACTTCTCCAAATTACCGTGAACTGATAACTCTTTACCACTTTGAGCATAAATCTGTACCACAACTTTAAAAACCATCAATAAATAAAGTTTTGCATAAAAAAATATATTAGGGTAGTTGGTGTTGAGAAGCGTGTGTGGTGGTGGGGGTCTGTGAATATTTCAGGTCATTGTGAAAGTACAGTAACGATAGTGAAGTTGACGACTCAATACACGCAGTGGATTTACATGAAGCGGTGAATCACGTGGGTGGTGTGATTCAGTCTATATATTGCTTTATACAAGATGAGAATGTGGGCTAGTACGAGTGGATAGTTCCACTGTTGTCTTATCACTTTCCTCTCTTTCAATTTTACTTTTAATTAACAATGCCACCAGTTGTGACTGTTTCCATGATTTTTACTCATATTTCCATGAAACGGATTTGTGAACAGAGATAAAACCCAAGATTTTTGTTCATATATCCGTGTTTTTTGTTCATACAATCATGAAGTAACGTTTGTTCAGATATCAAATGATTTTTGTTTCCTGCTCAGTGATAATAATAAACATGGTACTTGATGTTGCAGCTGAACGAGATCACGCCATACTTGGACGGCGGGTTGGTGTACGGTACTGGCAAGGGCTGGGCTGACGTGCTTCGGACTTTCGAAAATGGCACCCTGGCCCCCCGAGGCAAACTAGCCCCCAACGATAAGGTGATTTATATATATATATATATATATATATATATATATATATATATATATATATATATATATATATATATATATATATATATATATATATATATATATATATATATATATATACAGAGAGTTACTTTTTTGGCGTGCGCGCGCGGTGTAAGAGCTCGCTTACTTAAACTCATATTTTCGTGTTTATTTTAAATTCACGTGTGACCCTAATGCCACACGTTATACCATCAGAACGTACGAGCGTTAATGTTTGTTTATCTATTATCAAAACGGCGAAATATTCATAGGAAGCTGCGAGTGTCATGGTGCTGTGTTGTGTGTGTGTGTGTGTGTGTGTGTGTGTGTGTGGTGCTGCAAGATTAACGAAGACTTCCGTGTTGCAGCTCGGCTCAGGATACCCGGCACAGAACACGCAACGTCTACCCATGGCCAACCCCCCGCCCCCATTCAACCACTCCCAGTATGTTGGGAGAGGCTACACCGCCGAAGTGGATAGGTTCTTTAGTAAGTATCGTCTTGCAACAGACAGACAGACAGACAGACAGACAGACAGAACAAAAAATACTGCGACGAGAAAATTCCTTCAAGGTGTGATCAACAAAACATGTAAATGAGATCAATAAGTGACAGGTGCTTCTCCCAGTAAGAGACAGGTGTTTCTCCCAGTAAGAGACAGGTGCTTCTCCCAGTAAGAGACAGGTATTTCTCCCAGTAAGAGACAGGTGTTTCTCCCAGTAAGCGAAAGACTAAAAACTGTCTCATTTCTAAATTATTCCCAATATTTGTGTCAAGGTTACCGCTGTCGAGGAGAGGTTCAGACTAAAAGCATCTTGAGTGTAGACTTATTATGAGATCAGAAATGTACACAGTGAACATTAGTCTGCATATTAAAGACACTCGGTATTTCTGATAAGGGATTTCAGCTGTACTTACTAAAATAACTTACACATTATTATTTCGAGTATGACGCAGCACAAGAACAACTAATCAATGTATGTAGATGTTAATGAACCACCCATGATGCTCCAGTTATATAATACTCGAAGACTCACGATATAATTATACTCTGTCTTCAGATGTGTTCTTGTAGTCATTTTACCGAATCTAATATTTGGTGTATTGATATATGAATTTATTCCTAAGTCCTCACTGTCACATAATCGGAGTTACCACTGATAAATTTTAGCCATTAGTGAATCATGTAACTCGTTCTTGATTCTAAGGTTCCTTTCACATTGTACTAAATCCGTATTTCAGTTAAGATGTGTTTTAGTAGCAATTAAATCTTCTTGTAATTAATATATAATCAATTAATTCTATTCCAAAAGTCCCTTGTAATAAAACAAAAACATTAAGGGTCATCGAAAAAGAATAACAAGATCTTAAATGTTTATATGTTGAATTCAGGTATTCTTTTACGATGAAACTGCGTTTGTAGCAATTAGTCATGAGTGAATTAAATGGTGTTCCTTCCCCGTGCAGAGCTTGGCAACCCCCGGGGTAACGAGAACCCCTTCATACTCACCTTCGGTATTCTGTGGTATCGCTGGCACAACCACATTGCTGAGTACTTGGATAAGAGACATCCCAGGTGGACAGGTAAGGCTCTGCTCCCCAAGGTAATGGTGTGGCACTTCTACACTCTGCCAACATCCAGCCCTACACCCCTTACCACCATCCCTACACTATCTTCCACCATTCCTACATTCCCTACCAACATCCTATATCCCTACCAGCACTCTATACCCCTACCACCATCCCTACACCTCTATCACCATACCTATACCCCTACCATCATCCCTACACTCCCTACCACCATACCTATACCCCTACCACCATCCCTACATCCCTACACCCCTACCACCATTCCTGCACCCTATCACCATTCCTACACTCCCTACCACCATCCCTACAACCATTCTTACATCCCTACCACAATTCTTACACCCCCTACCACCATACCTATACCCCTAGCACCATCCCTACACTCCCTAGCACCATCCCTACACCCCTACCACCATCCCTACACCCCTACCACCATCCCTACACCCCTACCACCATCCCTACACCCCTACCACCATCCCTACATCTCTAATGCATACTACGACTGTCTCAACACAAGGCTGACCATGGCAGACTCTTGTGGTCCAGAAACATTTCCTTCTATAAGAGTTTAACATCTTTTTTATGACACCATTCGCTGGAAGAGGTCGTTGGCAGGTGGTAGGAAATGTAGGAATGGTGGTAGGGGGTGTGGAAATGGTGGTAGGGGGTGTAGGAATGGTGGTAGGGATGTAAGAATAGTTGTAGGGAGAGTAAGAATGGTGGTAGGGAGTGTAGGAATGGTGGTAGGGAGTGATGGAATGGTGGTAGAGGCTTAGGAATGATGGTAGAGAGTGTAAGAATGGTGGTAGGGAGTGTAGGAATGGTGGTAGGTGTTTTGGAATGGTTATAAGGAGTGTAAAAATTGTGGTAGGGAGTGTAGAAATGATGGTAGAGGTGTAGGAATGGTGGTAGGTGTTTAGGGGTGGTGATAGGGAGTGTAGGAATGGTGGTAGGGTGTGTGTAGGGATGGTGGTAGTTTCCTACTTCAGTCCCAAGCCAGGGTCAGAGTATACTTGCTTAACTTAAATATGCTGAGTGATTCTCGTATGTCAGAAAGTTCAATGAGGTGGTGGAGCTAATTATGATGACGAGTTTTGCTGTCCGGAGATAAATACATTAGATGGATTAGATTAGATAGAAGTTAATAAATCGACTCATTAATCGTCAAAAAGGAAATAAGTGTTCAGGATAACGGGATCACATGGGTTACCTGCCCTTTTCCCCTTGTTGGTCAGAGTGGTCCGACTTATTCATGGAAGGAGTGCTTGTGTCAGGTGTCAAAAAGGGTTCAAATAACATGAGATATACGGACACCACCTCCTCCTCCTCCTACCCTCCCTTAAAGTTTCATTAATTTTTTTTTCGTTGTTAATTTCCTCAGATGAGAAGATTTTCAACGAGGCCAGAAAATGGGTGATCGCCACATACCAGGCCATCGTGTATTATGACTGGCTGCCTAAGTACATGCGCAGGGAGCTATCTCCATACCAGGGTGAGTCGTTCCTTGTTCTACAGCCCTGTTATTGTGTACTGCTGATTTATCTTTACAGTTAATACAGGGAGTAAGGTGTTGACGAAAACCTCTGTTAATGTATGAAGCCCTGTGTTAATGCATGAAGCCTTGTATAAACTAAAAGACAAATTTGGGTTAAAGAAAAGTGTTGTGTTGTTTTATGAACTGTAGTCATGTGTTAACACCCTCTCTTATCCTTGTAGGCTACAAACCCACGACTGATCCACAAGTGAGTCACATCTTCCAGTCAGCAGCCATGAGGTTCGGACACACACTCGTCACCTCTGGCGTTCACCTGCGAGAACGCGATAAAGACTTATGCGGGGTGAAGTCCTTCAATCGCTATGGCGAAGAGGTGGGAGGCGTCAGGACCTGCAACTCTTTCTGGCTTTCTCCGGTAGGTGCTGGTGCTTCCATGGTATGTTCTTGCCGTTTCGGGTTACAGTACTTATTGATGATTCCAGGTAAAACCCATCGGCGGTCGTCAGGGGCATATAACTCAAGGCAAGTTCTCACGACAAGATTGATTTTTTTCTTTAGGAATTCAAATATATATGAAACACTGGCGCTACAGTTCCCATATTTACAATCAACAGCTCAAATGTAATACATCTGTATTATTCACCAACAGCATACATAAATTAATCAATATAGGAATAAAAAAATGAGAGGCAACGCCCCAACTGATAATTAAAATAATAACAATTTTATGATCATGTTTATCGCCTTAAATAAATTGACGTCTACTAATCTGTAATGACCAACTCGCTGTATTTGGTGATCTTTATAAACTCTCTAATTCTAAAAGTCTGAAAAAAACATGAATATTTTACTAGCACGAAGGTTTTCTTTTTCAGGAATTTTTCACTGGCGATCCAGGCAACTTTGAAAAGTTTTTGATGGGACTAAGCAGCCAAGGTTCTGAAAAGGAGGATCATGTAATTGTTGAAGATTTAAGAGGTACGTGGTACAGTTTAATCGCCACAAATGTACCTGGAAAAGTGTTTAGGGTACACTTGTCTGTAGTGCAGCTGGGAAGTAACTGAGATATACTTATGTGTCTATAGGTCAACTTGGGAGGGTTGAGGGCACACCTTGTGAAAATTACAAGTTATGGAAGGACCGACTTGGAAGGTTAACCAAGTGAGAACAGCAGGGCGTAGTAGGGAGAAGCACCAAGAGATAATGACATATAAATCTGTATTAGTAATTGATATTAAAGAAATTATGGGTCTAACAGATGAGTAGATTGATAGGTAGACACAGGGATAGATACAGGCACATAATAGTTGATGTAGTGTAGAGGATAGTGTAGCTGATGTAGTGTAGAGGATAGTGTAGTTGGTGTAGTGTAGAGGATAGTGTAGCTGATGTAGTGTAGAGGATAGTGTAGTTGATGTAGTGTAGAGGGTGTATAGTGTAGTTGATGTAGTGTAGAGGATGATGTGTGTGAGTAGTGTAGCTGATGTAGTGTGAGGATAGTGTAGTTGATAGCTGATGTAGTGTAGAGAGGATATGTAGTAGAGATAGCTGATGTAGTGTAAGAGGATAGTGTAGATTGAGAGGATAGTGTAGTTGATGTGAGGATAGTGTAGCTGAGATAGTGTAGTTGATGTAGTGTAGAGGGATGATGTAGTGCTGATGTCTTAAGTGTAGAGGATAGTGTAGTTGATGTAGTGTAGAGGATAGTGTGGCTGATGTGAGTGTGAGAGATGTGTAGTTGATGTAGTGTAGAGGATGTAGTGTAAGATAGTGTAAGAGGATAGTGTAGCTGATGTAGTGTAGAGGATAGTGTAGTTGATGTAGTGTAGAGGATAGTGTAGTTGATGTGTGCTTCAGAGGATAGTGTAGCTGATGTAGTGTAGAGGATAGTGTAGATAGTGTATGTAGTGTAGAGGATAGTGTAGTTGATGTAGTGTAGAGGATAGTGTAGTTGATGTAGTGTAGAGGATAGTGTTAGAGTGTGATGGTGTAGTTGATGTAGTGTAGGGATAGTGTAGTGTGATGTTGTAGAGGATTGTAGTTGTGTAGTGTGAGGATAATTCTGTTGATGTAGTGTAGAGGATAGTGTAGTTGATGTGGTGTAGAGGATAGTGTAGCTGATGTAGTGTAGAGGATAGTGTAGCTGATGTAGTGTGGTGTAGAGGATAGTGTTAGTTGATGTAGTGTAGATGATAGTGTAACTGATGTAGTGTAGAGGATAGTGTAGCTGATGTAGTGTAGAGGATAGTGTAGTTGGTGTAGTGTAGAGGATAGTGTAGTTGATGTAGTGTAGATGATAGTAAAATCACGAACATAGATTATGAGCTACTCCTCATAACTAAAGCAACTCCAACATGTTATAATATAGGGAGTAACTCCAGGTAATGTGTTTGGTCCCTTGGAGTTCTCCCGGCGCGACCTGATGGCTATCAATATACAACGCGGACGAGACCATGGGCTGCCAGACTACAACACCGCCAGGAAGCATTTTGGCCTACAACAGCTGGAGTCCCTCAATTCAAATGAGTTCAAGAGAAAAACAGGCACTGATGTAGATGAAGACGTAAGATATTTGGATAATGTGTAGTTTCTTTACAGCGGGCCTGAAATTCAATTTATGTTATATATTTAAGGAATACGGTACATCATGTTATTTCTCAACGTCTTTCCTTAAAGTCTTAAACATTTTGGAAGTATCACGCAATTGATAACGTTTTTGTTTTCTTTTTCTTTAGAATTCGTCAGTCTCGATTTATTTGGAAGAGATGACATGTTAGTTACGTTACGAGGTTAATTTGTGATAAAGTATACATACAATTTTGATAAACAATAAATACAGGTACACATACACTTGTACGTGTGTGTGTGTGTGTGCAAGGTATGTTTGCTCGCAGTCATATGTAATTTCTATGTTTACACAGGTTATCAAACGCCTTGAGAGTGTGTTTGGTAGCCCAGGCGAGGTCGATATCTGGGTAGGTGGACTTCTTGAAACCAGAAACGGCCCTGGACAACTGTTCTCAAAGTAAGTCAGTCATCCAGTTAGTCAATTAGAAGCTTAAACAGCCATTCGGTCAGTTCATTGAATATGATAACCGGACAGTGAGTTTAATATGTAATCAAAACATCCGGAAATCAGTTATTCATTTAAAGAATTAGTCCTTGTTCACCATGATGCACTCAGCAGGAAGTGTCTTAGTGATCATTATAACTCAGTTTTCAGCTAATCTTGCCTCGTGTCCTCAGAGTCATCCTGGATCAGTTCGAGCGCATCCGAGACGCTGATCGTTTCTGGTTTGAGAATACCAACAACAAGTACGTCTACACTCACTCACCTTACCTTACTATTAACATCAATAACAAACAAATGGTATTTATTAGACAACAGAATCAATATAATAGTAAAAAAACCCTGACGATTCCTTGAGTCATGAGACTATTACAAGTATTTACAATATAGGAACCGTGTGACTCAGTTGAAAGAATCAGACCCAAAGACTGATTTTTATCTGCCGAAGGACAGGTTCGCTTACATGGCAGAAATGAACTATTCCTTTCATAAATTGGCAATTCAGGAAATCTTAAACAATTGCAGCAAAGTCATGAACGTAAAGAAGAAAAGAAGAAGCAGGAGATAAAATGGATGTTTGACTTGGTCTGAGTTGAGATGCTCATGGCGGCCTCGGGGTTCCAGGGATCATAAAGCCCAGAATTATGAGCTTTTGAATCACCTTATGGCAATGTATTGATTCTGTTAGCCAGCAGATAGTTCATTATTAATGTTAATTCAGTTGTAGGGATATAGCCAAGAACCAGTTGTAGGGATATAACCAAGAACTAGTTGTAGGGATATAGCCAAGAACCAGTTGTAGGGATATAGCCAAGAACCAGTTGGAGGGATATAACCAAGAACTAGTTGTAGGGATATAGCCAAGAACCAGTTGTAGGGATATAGCCAAGAACCAGTTGTAGGGATATAGCTAAGAACCAGTTGGAGGGATATAGCTAAGAACTAGTTGTAGGGATATAGCCAAGAACCAGTTGTAGGGATATAACCAAGAACTAGTTGTAGGGATATAGCCAAGCCCAAGAACTAGTTGTAGGGATATAGCCAAGAACCAGTTGTAGGGATATAGCCAAGAACCAGTTGTAGGGATATAACCAAGAACCAGTTGTAGGGATATAGCCAAGAACCAGTTGTAGGGATATAACCAAGAACCAGTTGTAGGGATATAGCCAAGAACCAGTTGTAGGGATATAGCCAAGAACCAGCTGTAGGGATATAGCCAAGAACCAGTTGTAGGGATATAACCAAGAACCAGTTGTAGGGATATAGCCAAGAACCAGTTGTAGGGATATAGCCAAGAACCAGATGTAGGGATATAGCCAAGAACTAGCTGTAGGGATATAGCCAAGAACTAATTGTAGGGATATAGCCAAGAACCAGTTGTAGGGATATAGCCTAGAACCAGCTGTAGGGATATAGCCAAGTACTAGCTGTAGGGATATAGACAAAAACCAGCTGTAGGGATATAGCCAAAAATCAATGTTTTGAAGCGATATTTCAGAGAATATAAAGATGATGCAGCTACTGTACTAAAGGTTTCTACTGCACAAAATTTCATTTTTGTTATCACTTTTATAACCGTATTTAATGTTCAGAGAATGAAAGCGAACTTCTATTTTGTCTCCTGTCTACTCTACATACGAACAGATGCTACACACTACTTTTTTCTTATTCTTCTATACAATCAAAATTTCTTACTTAATCGAGATAGGTTTTAACCCTTTCAGAAGGGGGGGGGGAGGGTGTTACCCTAAGCTGAATAAAATCGTCTGGCGGTAGCCAGAATAAAATGACAAGTGCGTGACACGCGGTGAAAAGGTTAATATTCAATGATGGAAGGAAGATTTTAGGAGTTTTAAGAATATCATTAAATTATACAAACAGGTCTCTTGAGAAAATTCCCAGAAGAGTTGTATTAATATAAATTTGAAGGAAATACATCTATGAAATATTAAATATGAGTATAACGTAAAGTAAAGATAAAAAGAGAAAGCAATAAACGTAAAAGAAAAATGGTTGGTATTCATTCTTTTTATTGAGAAGTCCGTTATTGAGAGGGTTTACTGTACTTATTAATCTAAGAACAGAAGGGTGAAAGTGGTAGTGTGAGAGGGAGGATTACTACACTACCTTGTTCCTGTTTCCCTCGTCAGAATTCCTTACACTATGAACTGGTGCCTTTCCTCCTTCTCTCTCCCTCTTTCATTTATGCATCAAGTGACCACTCTGGTGATAGTTCCAATTACTATAGATGATCTTTCAACAGTCTGTTCACGGAGGAGGAGAGGAGGCGTCTTCGGCAGGTGAATATCATCGACGTTGTTTTGTCTGTGACCGACCTACTGCCAGACGTGGACATCCAGAGTGACCCTTTTACAGCCGTCCACGAAAACAATAGTGAGGCTTTCTCGTCACCTGTGTTACCGAACTATGAGTCTGTGTCCGTTTTCGTTCTCTAAAATTAAGGGAAGTTGCTTTTTATTGTGTTACTTCTTGTTATCTGTTGTTGTTGTGACTACAGTTTGCTTTTGTCAGTGGGAGATGTGTGTGTTCGTTTTTATATTACAGGTGTCAGCGAAAAGTGTAAGCAAATTCTAAGCAACCAGAAAGATTGTCACTTGTTCGGCGACTTCACTACCACCTGTCGTTACCTGTCGCCGGTGGATACCGTGAAGGATAGCTGCTCACCCCCCGGGACGTACGACTACTTCGATGGCTCCCAGACATCCTACATCTTAACCTTCACAATAGTGGCGGGCGCCTGTGTGGGTGAGTGTGTGTATGTGTAGGGGGGGTACTGTGAGTGTGGGGGGGTTACTGTGTGGGGGGTTACTGTGTGTGTGCTGTGTGGGGCTACTGTGTGAGGTGGGAGGTTACTGTGTATATGTGGGGAGTTACTGTGTGTGTGTGTGTGTGTGTGTGTGTGTGTGTGTGTGTGTGTGTGGTGGGAGGTTACTGTGTGTGGGGTTACTGTGTGTGTGTGTGTGTGTGGTGGGGGAGTTACTGTGTGTGTGTGGGGGGGGGTTACTGTGTGTGTGTGTGTGTGTGTGTGTGTGTGGTGGGAGGTTACTGTGTGTGGGGGGTTACTGTGTGTGTGTGTGTGTGTGGTGGGGGTTACTGTGTGTGTGTGTGGGTGGGGGTTTACTGTGTGTGTGTGTGTGGGGGGTTACTGTGTGTGTGAGGGTTACTGTGTGTGTGAGGGGTTACTGTGTGTGGGGGTTACTGTGTGTGTGTGTGTGTGGTGGGGGTTACTGTGTGTGCGTGGGGGTTACTGTGTGTGGGGGTTACTGTGTGTGTGTGTGTGGTGGGGTTACTGTGTGTGTGTGTGGGGGGGTTACTGTGTGAGTAGGGGAGGTTACACTACTGTGTATATGGGGAGGTTACTGTGCGTGTGTGTGTGTGGGGGTTTACGCTGTGTGTGTGGGGGTTACTGTGTGTGTGGGGGGTTACTGTGCGTGTGTGGGGGGGGGGTTTACGCTGTGTGTGTGTGTGGGGTTACTGTGTGTGTGTGTGGGGTTACGCTGTGTGTGTGGGGGATTACTGTGTGTGTGTGTGTGTGTGTGGGTAGGGAGGTTACTGTGCGTGTGTGTGTGGGAGTTTACGCTGTGTGTGTGTGGGGGGTTACTGTGTGTGTGGGGGGGGGTTACGCTGTGTGTGTGGGGGAGGTTACTTGTGTGTGTGTGTGTGTGTGTGTGTGGGGTGTGGGGGAGTTACTGTGTGCGTGTGTGTGTGTGGGGGGATTACTCTGTGTGTGTGTGTGGTAGGGGCCTACTGTGTGAGTAGGGGAGAGGTTACTGTGTATATGGGAGGTTACTGTGCGTGTGTGTGAGGGTTACTGTGTGTACTGGGGGTTACTGTGTGTGTGTGTGTGTGTGTGGGTAGGGAGGTTACTGTGCGTGTGTGTGGGGGTTTACGCTGTGTGTGGTGGGGTTACTGTGTGTGTGTGTAGGGGGGGTTACACTGCTGTGTGTGTGGGGGTTACTGTGTGTGTGTGTGGGGGGTTACGCTGTGTGTGTGGAGGGTTACTCTCTGTGTGTGTGGGGGTACTGTGTGTGTGGGGGTTACTCTCTGTGTTTGTGTGTGGGTGAGGGGCTACTACTGTGTGAGTAGGGGGAGAGGTTACTGTGTATATGGGGTTACTGTGTGTGGGGGGCTACTGTGTGTGTGGGGGTTACTGTGTGAGTGGGGGAAGGTTACTGTGTATGGGGAGGATTTACTGTGTCTGTGTGGGGGGGTTACTGTGAGTGGGGGAGAGAGGTTACTGTGTATATGGGAGGTTACTGTGTGTCTGGGGGGGTGTTACTGTGTGAGTGGGGAGGTTACTGTGTATATGGGAGGTTACTGTGTCTGTGTGGGGTGTTACTGTGTGAGTGGGGAGGTTACTGTGTATATGGGAGGTTACTGTGTGGGTGGGGGTTACTGTGTGTGTGTTTGTGTAGATGACGTGGACAGAGAGATTTGTTAAAAACTCACACATACATTGACATTCTCTCTCCTCAAATATGTTAGCCTTTGTCGTCATAAGAGCCAAAACTAAGTCAAAGGGCAGAGCTAAGAAGGTCTTCACCAGCATAAAGGCAAGGAAAATCTCCGCAAGGCTAAGGGTGAGTACAAGAAGGTGATCAATGTGTCATACTGTAGAGTGTAGACAGTGATTACTGTGTCATACTATGAGCAACGATCAATGTGTCACTGTGATCAGTGATGTGTTATACTGTAGACAGTGATCAATGTGTCATGCTGTAGACAGTGATCAATGTGTTATACTGTAGACAGTGATCAATGTGTTATACTGTACACAGTGATCAATGTGTTATACTGTAGACAGTGATCAATGTGTTATACTGTAGACAGTGATCAATGTGTTATACTGTAGACAGTGATCAATGTGTTTTACTGTAGACAGTGATCAATGTGTTATACTGTAGACAGTGATCAATGTGTCATACTGTAGACAGTGATCAATGTGTTATACTGTAGACAGTGATCAATGTGTCATGCTGTAAACAGTAATCAATGTGTCATTTTACAGAGAGAGTGTCAATGACTGAGAAGCGCTACGTGAAAGTGGTGCTGGAAGATGGCGCACGACACATCAAGGTGAACAACATCCAGGGCCAGGTCCTGAGAACCATTGAATTTACAAACGTAAAGGAGATTTTTGTCCGCCACCTGAATGATTACTGCAAGATTGTTCTGTCTGCCCCTCACCACTATGATCTGGTGAGTTATGGTGACCTTTGACCCAGTGACGTGGGTAAAACCTGGTGATTTTGTTATCATTTGGTCTTATGTGTATCATATAATTATGAGTATATACTGTACTCGTATAAGTACATTCGTTTTTAATTTGATTTATGTTTTGCGTTTTATATTTTTTCATCATTATCGTCTTCGTTACACTTTTCAAGTATCGTAGTCGTTAATTTGTGGTGGGACCGACGAGGCTGCTGTGAACATTTGGTAAGTTCTGGACGTTATGGGCTCAGTTATCTGTGGATGTTTGTGCTGTGCTGCATGATCACATCTCCTCATCTTGAATTTCAACCACAAGTTATCCGTGACAGCGATGCATATTCATGATTTGAGCGAACTTAGGCTGGTTTTTTTTTTGGCTGCCGTGCCGTAGGTTTTCTGTGTTGCACGTCACAAATAACACATTAAATCTATAATTTATTTACTGAACTAGAGTCATCAAAGAAGTAGCTGATCCTCTCCCCCCTTCCCCTCGATCTACACCTAATTCGATAGGGTTCAAGAACGGTTTATAATGAACTTATAAACAGCTGTGGTGCGTCCAACAGAACTTAAGCTGTTTTACGCAAACCATTTACGGCATATTCAGACGGACGATTGTACTATTATACTTGTGGTGTTAGTAAACAGTTTAACAGCCGTATTAAAAGACTCACTAAAAATATTTCGACTGTTTTTATCGGGTTCCCAGATGACGCTGTGTACTGCAGTGTTTTACAGAGTATGTACGGAAGATAAAAAAGTGGCTGCCATAACCACAGCTCCAAATGTGCTGTCGAACAGTGGTGCCATCTATTGGATTTCCAACCCAGTTTGACTACCTTTACACTAGCGGATTTCCAACAACACTTCACTATTTGTGAGTTTGTTTGTTTGTTGGTCCAATCACCCGTCGAGGGAGTCTCTTCCCTATCTTCCTTATACCTGTATAGTCTTTGAGAGTTTTAGAGGTTTACCCTTGGGTCCCGACTCGTTAAATGTGGAAAAAATTTAACTGTAGTTAGACAAATATATTGAACAAACAGGACACTATGGGTGGATAGGCTTTGAGCTAAGTGGAATCTTGACATCTTGGGCTAACACCGTGTGTCTCAGAAAGTTGCGGGCATTGTTAGCCTTCCTCCTCTCACCGCTCTTTTCCCACTTCTTCCTTCACCTCAGCCTTCCGTGTTATACACAGAATACAAATTACAAATGTCTCACTTTTAATAGATGTAACTAATAAGTTTCAGGAGTTTTTAAAAAGGATTTTATATTCATCCATAAGTTAAGACACATTAATTATCATTATGTATCATTATTGCGATTATTGTACTTGTACTAAGTAACTTATTTGTAGTTGTGCTATTATGTTGTTCAATTATTATTTTTTTTCGCAGTGACCATTGAAGTGATGATATTTATTAATATTGTCTCCTCGCCCACAGTATCTGATGTTTCAAGATGGCTTCCATGGTGAAAAGTTGAAAGATGCCCTGGAGAAGTACTGTGCTAACCTTGGGGTGGAAATCAAATATAAAATGGAGACCTGGTGGTCCATCAAGAAAGGGGTGACGACCGTGTACGAGCGGGAGAAGGACCTGGCGCGGTTCTCCAGGACCGTGATGGAACTCGTGAGTCTTGGTTCAGACTGAGTGTTACAGTGTGCATAGAGGGTCTCAATGAAGTCCATCTTTGCATTTATGAAGAAGGTGGTAAATTAAAATTACTCTCCGTGATATAATAGTGAGCATCTTCACCTCATGAGCAGTAGAGAGGGGTTCAGTTCTAGGCAGTAACTGGAGGTGTTCGTGTAGTGGAGGGAAAATTAGGCAGTGCGGTTGGCAAGTCGCTTGGTCTCACTGGAATACACCTTGACGCTCAGCTAGCTAACTAAGGGTGTAATTACTGTATGAGCGACTACTGTTACAACAAATAAGCTAGTTCCAGTTTATTTACTTCAATGTATACTTTTCGTAGAATAGACGAACTTTATATATATATATATATATATATATATATATATATATATATATATATATATATATATATATATATATATATATATATATATATATATATATATATATCTTGATAAAATCACACGGGAAAAGGGAAACAACGGAGCACCTTAGCTTTCGTCTTTATTCAAGACATTGTGGATCTACATGATATATATATATATATATATATATATATATATATATATATATATATATATATATATATATATATATATATATATAATTCCTGAATAAAGCTCGTTTTAGGAAGAAGCTCGGTACACGTGTCCAGCAGGCAACGTGGAGTGCGACACAAGAGAATTTGTTAATAATTTATTTCTTAATCAACGACAAGTAGTCTTATTAGGTTATGATTAACCTTAATGCCAGAAGCTTGTAATTATAAAATAATATTTATTTAAAAAAAAAGTGTGGGATCCCTCCCTAAGCGTACGTCCTCACAGAATTACTTAGAGAAGCAATTTGGGATTATCTTTCAACACAAACCAATATTTATTTAGAGTTTAGACCTTTATTTAGACAGCAGATTTAACGCTTGCTCATATGCATTTGTGTAGGCAGGTGTGGTGTACAGTATGAGTGTATCTACAAGACCCTAGGTAATTTTCTCAATGTGGTGGCCTCGGAGAGGTAATGTTAAAACGTGTTATAAGCCATAAATATTGGAAGAGCGAATAATGTGTCTGTGGCATAAGTTATCAGAGACATTTCCTTCTAGCACACACATGTGACTGGTCAGAAGAGTTTGAGATAAAGCTGATCTAACACTATAGTACCATAGGTGGTAAACCAGGATACTAGGGGTTGAAACAGGATACTAGGGGGCTGAAACATGATACTAGGGGCTGAAACATGTTATAGGGGGCTGAAACCTGAAACTAAGAGCTTAAAATTAATAGTGGACACAGAAAACAGGATATGTTATAACTTAACTTTTAACCTTACCTAACCCAACCGTTTCTACTCGATCACTACCTTAAATACTCTTGTCTCATTTCTGCTGTCAGGCGTTTAATAAAGACAAGGACGCAAGAGCTACTGCAGATATCTTGTCTATCGCGACATCCAAAACGTCTACCAAATACACCATGCAAATGACTCGCGCTGAACTGGCCACCCAGCTTGGCATGCTTCCTAACTCCATCTTCATGAATCGGGTGAGTGAGAATTATCACAGTTATTATGCTGTATACAACTTTTCATTGTTGATTTTATGCTTGTGCAAGTAAATTCGTTTATGGAGAATATGCAGTATACGCCAAGAAAATATTGGTTGTCCATAAGTCGACTGCACATACTACAGTAGTTAGGTGAGGAAGGTTCTGCACTATTTAGATTAGGTTAGATTTATTTCTTCAACAAGTTTTTTTCCTCCAAAGTAAAAATCGATTTAAAGTTTCATTGTAGCTGAAAACGTGAATAGTCAGTAGGTAAATTATTGTAACTGGGTGCCTTTATCATCTCCTATTTTGTTTACCGTAGTTATTCGAAATAATGGACTCGGACAAGAGCGGCTTCATCACCATCAAGGAATTCTGGGATGTGATGCTTGTGTTTGCTCAGGGCACACCAGAAGAGAAGGCCAAACTCATGTTCGACATCTACGACATCTCCAATTCAGGAAACATCTCCTCTGACGACCTTCGGAAAATTGTCAAGTAAGTGGTCTTGCTTGTATCTCGTAGTGTGTTTGTGTGTGTCTGTGTTGTGAAATGAAATGGAATGGGTCGCAACCAACGTCACCTGGCAGAAGGGTAAGGGTCACATTCACATGGTAGTTAACTTTAAGGTATTGAAGATGTCTTAGTTTATCTTTCTGACCAAGTGCTAATATGGTTTATTTTTGCTATCTATCGTGTCTTTTATTGTTAGTAACATTAGAATTATAGCCCCCGGACTTACCCATGTATGTTTGTGCACTCAACGAAATTTCAGTGACATAGTATGTTAAAATATAGAAAAAAATTGGTAGTAGCGGAGCGGCGCGTCCTGCTTCCTGCCAACAAGCAGGGAGCTAATCTTTTTATACCATATGCAACATTCTATATCATGTTTCCTTCTGTTCCAGTCGGTCTACAACCTTCAGTGCTTAAAGCAATAATGTCGTATTTTGTGTGTCATTGTATTTAAGATATGTGTTCAACAATGAGATACTGATGCTGATTTTCTCACCACAGGGCGACCATGGGCAGCGAGGCCAACAACCAGGACTTAGATCAGGTTGTTAACAGTATGTTGCAGTCCATCGGTCTCAGAGAAGGACAGAACATTGATTATGACAACTTTAAGAAGATAAATAGCGCTCAGGGCAACATATTTGAGAATGTGAACATTGATATAACACAAACTACCTCGGGTAGGATGACTCGAGGCTTCAGTCTATACGGCTACGTGCCTAAGGGAGGCTTCGCTGCCAAAAGTGTCAAGAAATCTGACGACATACAGGTTCCCGAGGAAGAAAACACCGGTGAAGCAGTCGTGACTGGCCCTGTCCGGAAACAGTGGAATATCATGATCAGCAACATTAAGGTCAACTCTGTGTTCTGGTTCTGGGGATTTCTCTACACCATAGTCATGCTCCTCATCTTCGCAGAGAGAGCCTACTATTATTCGTGAGTACTCACCCTATTTACCTACTACTACTATGATACTTAGAACCTACCAGTTATATTCATTACGTCCATGTAACATAAATTGTAAATTTCAAAACATAATCTCTTCAAAATAGGGCGCAAATACAATTAAGAGACATCGTCATAACCTCGGACAATGCGAAGACGTTCACTGCCTGTCAGGTATCAAGATGATTTACCTTCTTTCAGGGTGGAGAGGGAGCACTCAGGTCTTCGTCGCATCGCTGGCTACGGCGTAACAGTGACCAGGGGAGCAGCGTCTGCCATGATGTTCACTTACTCCTGCCTCCTAGTTACCATGTGCAGGAACCTGTTCTCTTTCCTCAGGTGAGCTCTAAGATCCTCCCCAGGGTGACTGTAGGAACCTTCTTCTCCCCAGGTAGACTTTAGGAACTTTATCCTTTCCAGGCAGGCTGTTGGAACATTCTCCTCCCCAGGCAGACTGTTGGCACATTCTCTTCCCCAGGCAGGCTGTTGGAACATTCTCCTCCCCAGACAGACTGTTAGAACCTTCTCTTCTTTAGGCAGAATGCAGGAATCTTCCCCTCCTCAAGTAGGATGTAGGAACCTTCTCCTCCCCAGGCAGACCGTTTCCCTAGGTTCTCGAAAGGTTTGTGACAATATTTCACTCGTCGAGGTTGTGTCTGTTGCATCAATTGTCTCACTTAAATAGAAAACACCAAGATGATGGACAAAATGACGTGGAGCCTGTGTTGATATTCTTAAAGCAAGAAGCTCTATCCACGGAGTTATGGAGAGAAATTGATATTTACGAGAGCAGATCTATATAATACCCAACACCTAACTTCCTCAACACTGGCAACAGCCCTTCCTACCCTGCAAGCCCACGTGGGGACTCAGTTTTGCAAGTCTTACTTCCATTTTAAACCTCGTTAAATCATTCTTGAATTAAGTATCATCCCCCGTCCATCATTCTAATTAAATATATTATTATTAGTGTGTGTGTGTGTGTGTGTGTGTGTGTGTGTGTGTGTGTGTGTGTGTGTGTGTGCCTTCTTTACTGATAGTCACCATACTGGGGTCACTGTACACCATAATCTGTATGTAGTGGAGAATAAACTTTCTGGACCTGCATCAAGCTGATCTACACCACATAGTATCGCTCTCTATCGCTTTCATAGTTGGAGAATGACCAAGGTGAAAAAACCCAGACTATTTCTTCTCTTCGTCTAATTTTGAACTCTCCCACAGATCCACTGCTGCCCACCGCTTTCTGCCTTTTGACTACATGATAAATTTTCACCGCTACATCGGGTTCTGGGCGCTCATCTGGACGGTAATACACGTCATCGGTCACGCAATCAACTTCTACCATATCTCCACCCAAACGCCACCGGACCTCACCTGTCTTTTCCGGGACTTCTTCAGGAGGTGACTATAGTGTTTTGGGTCTCGCGCTCGACTTATATGATTCACTGTGACATGGTTTTTGTTAGTCTTACAGCACCGAGAGAGAGAGAGAGAGAGAGAGAGAGAGAGAGAGAGAGAGAATATTTATGAATATTTTGTTTTGTGTGTTTATTTTCAAGGGATTCACGTATTGGTAGTAACGTATGCATGTGTATGTGTTGGCAAGGACTCACATGTTGGCAGAAACGTATTTACGTGTGTGTGTGTGTGCTGGCAGAACTCACGTACTACCAAAGTTCCACTACTGGTGTTGGGGGACCGTGACGGGGTTCACCGGCGTGCTTCTCACCTTACACACCGCCCTCATCTACTCCTTCGCCTACTTCGGGAGGGACAATTTCTTCCGCTGGTTCTGGCTGACACACAACACCTACCCAGTTTACTACATGCTCTTCATTCTCCACGGTTCTGGTAGGCTTGTGCAGGTGGGTGTCTACTCTTTGGCGGGATGGAAGTTGTTTTGTACTATGTGGTCTGACATCATTAAGCTAATGGCCTAGTCATCACACACACACACGTACACTTGTCATGTATAGCTAGAAACGTTTCTCACTAACACATATATATCGGACCCGCTATTATCTCTTAAATCGTTATCCTGCTTTAATTTTTTTTCCCAGCCTCCCTTTTTCCACTACTTCTTCCTGGGCCCGTGTATCCTCTTCATCCTGGACAAGTTAGTGTCGATCAGCAGAAACACGAACGAGATTCCCGTCATCAGCGCTAAGCACCTGCCTTCCAGTAAGTGCCACTGGTGTTACTGCTCCCCATTAAGTGCCACTTCCCTCCAGTAACTGTCAGTGCATTGTTACTATCCTTCAGTAAATTTCACAGCCCTCCAGTCACTGCCTTTAGTATGTGATGTAATTAACGTCATATTTACTCTACCCTCAGATGTAATTCGACTTGAGATTCAAAGACCCTCCAACTTCAACTTCCAATCCGGACAATGGGTGAAGATCGCCTCTACCGGCATCCAGAATCAGGTAGGCGTGTGTGTGTGGGAGGATGTCGAGGATGGGTGTGTGAGGAAGGTGGGTCACTGTCAAGTCTATCAGAACGAGTGTGTCAGGGGAGGCGGAGACCCACCTTTCGAGTGTATGTATTGCAGGTGAGCAGAGGAAATGAAGGCTGGATTAAGATGGCGCTCCTGACTTGGGGTATGTGAGACTGTCAGCAGCTCTGTACTTTATATTACAGTATGTAGCATATTTTGGTGGTGTTGCTGAAAAGAAACCGAGACGCTGTTCCACGTAGGTCAACACCCGGAGCAAACAATACGCGGGTGTTGCAGTGTGGATAGTTGTGCTAGGAGGCAGTGTTTCAGTGTGTTAACCCAACTTTACTTGTCATCCGTCAATGTGCGTTTACTTGTCACAGGAGTATCATCCCTTTACGCTGTCGTCAGCGCCCCACGAGGAGAACCTGACGCTGCACATTAGAGCTGTGGGTCCCTGGACGAGGAAGTTGACCGAAGTGTACCCAGATAAAGCCCCCGGTGTCAAATATCCAAAGGTAAACGACCTCTTCGCTTCTGAAGGATTCGAACTCGGAACCAAATTGAGTCCAATTTCGAGAACTTGGGTTATTATCTCTCTTTAAAAGAATACATCCTAGCTTAACGGAACCTAACCTAGCCTAGCCTAACCTAATAACCGAATGTAACCTAACCTTACCTTATTGAGGAACCTTGAGGAGATAATTATGATTCAAACATCATCTCATAAAATCATTCCACAGATAAATTTTGTGACTTTATCTACTTGGTATCTTGGCTGACATATGCATATAACGGCTATAGTACACATAAAACGAAGTTATTAAAGCATGCGGCAAGGTAAGTTATTAAGGCATGTGGCAAGGTAAGTTATTAAGGCATGTGGCAAGGAGAATTATTAAGGCATGTGGCAAGACAAGTTATTAAGGCATGTGGCAAGGAGAATTATTAAGGCATGTGGCAAGGTAAGTTACAAGATTTAGGAACTGAGGAATCTTGATATTATATTTTCCCTACACCTTTACTTCCTCTCCCTAGATCTACATGGACGGCCCATTCGGTGAGGGCCATCAGACGTGGTGGGACTTTGAGGTGGTGGTGCTGGTCGGGGGAGGGATTGGGGTGACGCCCTTCGCCTCAATCCTGAAGGACATCGCCTTCAAGCTCCAGCATTCCAAGTCGCTTTATAGGACCAAGAAAGTAAGTAACCTCTTTTATGCAGATGACACTCTTTATATGCGAGTGACACTCCTTGTCGGTGAGTGACACTTCTTGTAGGTGGGTGACACTTCTTGAACATGAGTGACACTTCTTGTAGGTAGGTGACACTTCTTGAACGTGAGTGACACTTCTTGTAGGTAGGTGACACTTCTTGTAGGTAGGTGACACTTCTTGTAGGTAGGTGACACTTCTTGAACGTGAGTGACACTTCTTGTAGGTGGGTGACACTTCTTGTAGGTAGGTGACACTTCTTAAAAGTGAGTGACACTTCTTGTAGGTAGGTGACACTTCTTGAACGTGAGACATTTCCTGTAGGTGGGTGACGTTTCTAAGATGAGTACCATTTATCAGCATATGACCCACAGTATATCATCATAAACCACTGTGGAGATGCATCACTTTATCACTGGATATCACACAGGTTATCTTCCTGTGGACGACGAGGAGTCAGAAGCAATACGAGTGGATGACAGAAATCCTGAACTCGGTTGAGGAGCTGGACAAGGAGGGCATTATTAGGAACCACATCTTTATCACCCAGTTCAAGAGCAAGTTTGACCTCCGCACCATCATGCTGGTCAGTCAATCATCATCCCCCTGTCTGCCTAACTTATTAAATTTCTGCATACAGACCAGGACCAGGAACAGCTGCAGAATTTTCATACTAAAACATCACCTTTAGGTTCATTTAGTTTATGTTAGGTTATGTTACGTTAGGTTAGGTTACTTGAACTAATTTTGGTGGTATATTAGTTTAAATTATATTAGTTTATATTAGTGATAGGTTAATCTTACATCTGTTATTGGGAAGTTAATTTACTTAGGTTAGGTTCGGCCAAGTTATGTTACGTTACATTAGTATTTTTTTTTACTTTGTGGTGGACAAAAAACACGAATGACTTTGTGCCCTTTGAAGTACAATATTGCTTAAACAGTTTATATATTAAAGTTTTCACTGTTTGGATACTCTGGCAACAACGGTGATGACAGCGCCTCTAGTTCGGGTGTTCAACGTGAACACATCACCTACTCGCAGTTTTGTGTAATAAACAATTGTTAATTCTACTATAAAAAGATGTTCTGAATTGTTTTACTTTGTTCCAGAACGATGAAGAGAGGTGTAAGAATATATACAAATAAAACTAAAATTTAGGAGAAGTAATATGGGAGTTATTAAATTTACGATGATCGCTGTCTGAATAATAATACTAATAATAATAATAATAATAATAATAATAATAATAATAATAATAATAATAATAATAATATTACTACTATTATTAATAAGTTTGTTTGCTGGACATAATAAAAGCTGCTATTGACTTGATATTTTTATACCGTGGGTAAATCTTCCCCTTGATATTATTTATGAAATGGAAATATGTGATGTTTCGGGTACAAACTATTATTATTATTATTATTATTATTATTATTATTATTATTATTATTATTATTAGTAGTAGTAGTAGTAGTATAGTAGTTGTAATAGTATAGTAGTAGTAGTCTTAGTAGTTTAAACGTTAGTAAAGCCAAGGAGTTGAAGCCAATCATGCTGTACTATTTGTATTGCAGTACATGGCTGAGCGACACTTCCAGACCGGGTCGGGCATCTCCCTCTTCACTGGCCTCCGCGCCATTACCCATTTCAGTAGACCTAACTTCCCCGCTATATTCCACGCCATCAAAGAGCGGTACAACAATGTGAGTACAAATAGTCACGGCCCTCAAAGGTTATTTTGAAGAGTCTAAACATCTCTGAAACTAAACACCTTCCAACATAAACACTTTATAGCTGGAAGACCTCATCCTTCACCATTTCACTCTTCACAACCTAACACGTCACTCCCACACTCTACACACTATCTCAGTTTCCAATTTCACACCTCACAACCTTTCAACCCCATAACCTCACAACTCACAACAACCCCTATTGGACATATACAGTACTCTCGTCTCACTACACTCTGCATACACTCATTCGTCTTCACCTAAACAATGCCCAAAACACTTTACACCCATACTATACCTCTTGTGTTTCTAGGGACACAAAACAATATTTTCTCTCACTTGTTTCACTTACTGTCATCACTGTTCGCCTACAGAGGTACGTGTCTGTATGAAGGAGTTATTGAATGCAAGTGAATCCCAGTGGGCGAGATATAGTGAGAGGATGTGAAATGGAAAGGTGCAGACAAAATATTGCAGAGGGAAAGTATAAAAAATAAGGCAAACTATTACAAAGAAGGTTTGTCTAAACTGAGAGACAACATATTGAATTCGTAGAGAGAGATTATAAAAAAAATATTGTATGCAAGAGAGTAAAAGGAATAAACGGAATATTATATTGTTACACCCTCCTCCTTTCACCGCTAAGCTAGCTAGCAAGGAGGTACTTGTTATTGTGTTAGTTGGAGAGGTCTACTAGGTTCTTGTGTAACTTGTAGAACACTCTCATCTTTTATTTTTAATATTATGGTCGAAAATAATGTGTGACTGACTCACTCCTAGCCTGCTTGCTGCTGTTATATACTGTACGTCTCGTCGGGCGCTTCACGAACATACTAGAATCACCCAGAGACTCCTGGGAGATTCTAGAACGTTCTACTCTGATCGAGGCTTACAATAATAAGTAAATCACACAAAAAAAAATGATGCATTGCAATCTAGAATATTCTTACATAATTAATACATCAATATATACATGAAGATTTCACTAGATTTGCCAAAATAACTGCTGCACGAGACAGAAAACAATTAAAACACCTAGTTTAAAAAATTATAATACGAAATTATGCTTAGGCTTAACAATATGGTAATGAAAGGAACAGGAAAATTGTTGCATGCAAGGGAAGTGAAGAAGAACGGACAGTATATTGCATGCGTAAGGCGGAAGAAGAAAATGTTGGCGGCGTAGATAGAGGAAGACAACATGAAAGAAACGCAATAGAATGGTGATTGTGGTGAGGGCGGGTGCCAGTGTGTGTGTGTGTGTGTGTGTGTGTTTGTGTGTGTTTGTGTGTGTGTGTGTGTGTGTGCGTGCGTAAGTACAGGTCAAATGAGTACTGTGAAAATATTTGTTATAAAATACAATGATCAAGTGTCTCTCAACAAGGACAAAATTCCCTACGTATGATTCTTGTATCTTTTTTCTTCCATACAGATATCTACCATCGGTGTGTTCACTTGCGGACACCAAAGCCTAAGTGCTTCAGTTGAGCAGGGGTGTCAAGCTGCCAACAAGGAGTCCGGGCCGAGCTTCAGACATTACTATGAAAACTTCTAAATTAAACTGAGATTGTCTGAATAACTTTCTTGGCAATCTCTAAATTACTTTGAGTGCTGTTTCGTAACTCTGAGAATTTACATTACATTGAAAACTTAATCACTTGAGAATTGTTTTTGACTCCAAAATATTTAATTTTATTTTTTCAAATTACTGTCAGATGCTCAGAACCTCTTATAAAACTTCTAAATCAATTTGAGAACTTTCCAGTTACTCCAATAACTCCTAAATCGCTCTCATAACTTCTAAATTGCTTTGAAATATTATAAATGAACTGGAAATGTCTAAATCATTTTGATGACTCCCAAATTGGTTTAAAACCTCTGCATTAAATATAATTTCCTCATCAATTATCTTACTAATACTAAAAGGTGTGTTTAGTGTGTCGTGGTCACCTGTGTGTTTACCATCAATCAACAGCACCACACTGCCCCTCGAGTGGTGTCAGGTCTTTCTTTGGCTCTAACTTTCTCAAGGAGATAATTCGATGATTTTTTTTCTTCAAACAAACAATACTTTAATACTGTTTAGAGGATTTAAAGACACCGTTGAAACACCGAGTCTGTAAGGCTGTCCCGACACACAGCCGGTGACACTGCCTGTTTACCCAATATGGTATCGATGGTATTGATTGTCTTCGAATATTGTTGATTAATGTTTCATAGCAACATATAATTATATTCCTACAAAATAGAAAGGCATCTCAGACAATAAATAATAGATAAAAAACCCAAACCTGATAGTGAACTGACTTTACTGAAACAGGAGTGGATCATTTTGTGCTGTGTGGCGCCAGGTTTACAATACACACGTGCATACAAGGTGATGTTTACATTTCTTATCTTTAAGTTTAGTTAGAAATACCACACACACACACACACACACAATATATCAGTTTACCCTTTTTGCTAGACACTGTCGTAAGGTTTAATATCTCTCACTGGATGTATATTTCTCCTGAGAGATTTTTGTACTTAATTCTTCTCTTATTTAAATCATGGGTTATGAAAAAAAGTTTGAAATGATAATTCATAAAATAATAAAGTAATGAGTAAATGAGACTAAAGAACAAAGGAGACTTCCTCTTGGGAACTAACAACATTGATGGTGATGTTTGTATGCTGTAGTGAGTAAACATTCATGTTCTATTGACACATAAATTAATTGATATTGTCCAAATACTGTTAACCTTAGAGTTACCTAGAGAAGTGCTGACAAATTTCATAGTTAACTAGGAGCTTTGTAGTGTCTCTTTTTAATGAAACTATTATAGTATATTGTAAGTCATGAGTGATGTAGTAACGAAGCTAAGGACAAGACTGATCAAGTTTATCATATAAGATGAAGGTCAAATGGGCCTCAGTCGTCATGGTCTGAGCTCCATAAGGCAATGCCCTGCCCAGACCATGAAGAGAGGGGTCCATGATGACGAGAGACCATTTGAACAGTTACCACTGTAGTTATGGTGATATTGTTGTTTGGTGGCTGGTTGGCTGGTTTTTGGTAAAGCTTGACGTCGACCAGCTCAGTGATGTTTGAGTCTCATTTGAGTTTAAATACACTGTTAAGGTAACATTCGTTTTATTATGAATGATCCTGTATTGTACATGTACAGATATATCAGACAAAACTTAACTGTGTATGTTAGCTACAGCTCATGATATTACATGATTTAGCTTTTCTGCATATCTTAATTTCTATATCACTTTGGTTGAGAAAATTACATGTATTAATTTTGTGTCTCCTAGTGATACCTCTTAGGTCATATAATCAGGGATGAGGGGATAATAACAGAAATATTAATGGGCAAAGTTGAGGGTAGGAGGGCCAGTGGAAGGTAGAGACTAGGATGGATGAATGAAATTAAAAACTAGGTCCTCAGAGATACAAAACCTTGGAGGATTGGTAAAAAACAGCACGAGAACGTTTAGAGTGGAGGACTGTGGTCGCCAACCCTTAGATATGAGGATGGTGCCCCGATTGAGTGACAAAACATATACGTAAAACCTTGATTTTTTTTCTTCTCGTCTAACAAAACTTAATAAAAAAAAGAACTTTTTCATGATGACGCCAGAGGTTTCATAATGCATAAAATGAAGAAATGTTGACTATATTCAGTTACTTCACCTGCCAGGGTCGTAAAGCTCCATTCAACTGAGACTTAATTTCTACGACAAGCAGTTGCAGAAAAAAGTAATCAGTGTTCTACAACTTGTTTTATGTTTCTCTACAATACGTCTTCCAACACTTTCCTTGTTATGTTTCACCATTGTTTTAAAATTTCTGTTCCCTCTTCGCCCCTCCCCCCGCCAAAAAACAGGGGGAAGGCGAGGAGGATAAGTAACAGATAAATAGACAGGAAGATATTACCTGGGGTGAGGTAGAAGGTCAGGTCAGGTCAGGTCAGGTCAGCCACAGGAATACCGCGTGATCTCGATAGGGTAGTATTCTATCAGCTTCTTGAGAGACCCTTCCTGGGCATGGTACCCAACGTCACTGACCCACTGAGGAAGAGGAATATAGATTGTAGGTCAAATGAGACTCTCTCCTACTAAACCTAACCTAACCATTGAGACAGGAACACAGGTGGAGTGAGAGACCTACATGATACTTAAGGTTGAGGACTATTGACCAGCCAGAACAAATGTAGGGAAAAACTCCTAGAAAAAGTCAAAACAAAGTCCCAAGAGAAAGAGTCACAGGAAAAGTGCCAATGTATAACTAGAACAGATGAACGTCTGGTCGAGTTAGCAGTAATGTAGTTAGATTTTCATTTTTGATCATGTCGGAAAACCTAACAGAACCCATCCTTACCTAATCTAACCCAACGCAACCTAATCTAACTAGTTAATAGTATTTAAGTAAAAAGTAACTTTTTTCCTGATTTTTTCTTAGCCCAAATTGTGACTTTTCTAATTTCTTTCCCTGTGACTTTATTTCCGTTCACCGGGTGGATACAGCGCCAACCTCCAGTCTTGGGTGGTGGGTTCCGGGGCATCCCTGATCTGATCTACAGAGCTGTAAGCGGGTTCTCAACTTAACAACACGATCGAGTGCAGTATCGGCCATGTGTTCTGGGTCTTATATATTTGTATTCTCACCGACTGTGTTAATATTATGCACGAGAGGCAACTCCAAAATCATGTCAGTCTGTTGGACCCAGCTGAGGGAGGCTGCCAGAGGGGTTGAGTTATATCACTCCATTGAGCAGCATTTTGACTCTTGTAATAACACGATATAATAGTTTATGAATATTATAAAACTTCTTGGGTTTACTTAAGTGTTTTGAATCCTAGAAATAAAAGTAACAGACTGTAGACTAATGCCAGCTATACACACAAACCGCTGCTCGTTTAGGAAATGGAAGTTTTCTTATAAATAATTACGTTAAAACACCATCAGCGTTTGTAACAGCGAGGACGAGAGAATGTCCCGTCTCCTTTGTTCGAGAATACGGTAATTAGTAACAGAAGAGTAAACTCGGGTTTAATAGTCAGTTGCAATTTTGTCGGACAAATTTTGGTTGACAAACAATATCATGTTACGCATTAACCTCTTTCCCTAATACGGTTATGCTTTTAGGTGAAGATAAAGTGAGCTAAGTGTTAGAGTATAATGTTTTAATGCTGTGTGCGAATGTACGTGAACCGTAACTAAATGTTCATGTATTAATATAAACGAAGCTTTTACATTTGCATATGTTTCAACTTCTGAGAGAGAACGTCGCCTCCCAGGTGAAGCTGTGTGTATGTGTGTGGGTGTGTGTGTGTGTGTGTGTGTTTAAAAAAAAAAAAAATAAACGAGGTAAGCACACTCGACAGGCCTGGGAGGGGCGAGGGTGTGAGAGACTGAGAAGGTATACTTGACACGTTCACACAGTCACTCTCTAGAGTCTGGCGAACACACCAAGGCTAAGTAAAGCCTCATGTTGCTATGTCTGCCTTCCTTTGCGAGGCTCACTGTTTATCACTGTAGGTATCTGTCTGTCTGTCTGTCAGTATGTATGCATGTATATATGTATGTATTCATGTTGTGATAAATAATAGCAATGGTAGACATCAGACTATTTTCCGAGACGTTCTATTAACCAACCTCCCTCTTTCTTAATACATTGCTTCATATAAGTACATGTACGAGTATACGACAGAGTTAGCTATAAAGGAACACACAATCAACCAATACACAGACATTTCACCCTGACAATACTCCCCACATTCTACACAAACATATACCCATAAAAACGTTATTGATCTGTTGTCACCATAACACACTATACCTGTTTTGTGTGTGTGTGATGATACGAGTTGTGTTTTATCCTGATTGTCCAGTACTTTCACCTCACTTCTTTTGTATTGTGTTGTTTGTTTGCTTTGTAAAGTCTTGTGTGATGAATAGGTTTTGTATATTATGGTGTTAGAGCCACTGGTGTACACGCCTAAATATCTGAGATAAACTACACACACACACACACGGGAGGTCTCACCATGGCATGTTTGGAAATGCAAGAATTTCCTTCGCCGGAGTAGTGGTATTGTGCCTTCCTCCATATGACCCCGGAGCCTCCTTTGTCAGCGTGATGGAGCACCACTGCCACCAGGGAGGAGGAGGAGGAGGAAGACACGGAGGAGGAAGACAGGTAGGAGAGGAGAGGAAAGTAGAGGAAGAGAGGAGAGGAAGAGAAGAGAGGAGAGTAGGGCGAGAAGAGAGGAAAAAAAATGAGGGGAGAGAGAAAAGAACTGAGATAAGGAAGAGAGGAGAGTAGGGAGAGAAGAGAGGAAAAAAATGAGGGGAGAGAGAAAAGAACTGAGATAAGGAAGAGAGGAGACAGGTAGATTGATATTTTTTCTACTTTTATGGCAGGCAGATGCTAATTTATAGTGCACACCAAACTTATACAGTAAGCAGTAGTGCAACACGAATGACACAGCAGAGGTCACACAGGGATGTATCAGATCTATGAGGTCAGGTTACTGTGGCATTGGGCACTACAGGATATTCTCAATACATAATATGTCAAGGACTTTGCATGGTCACTGTAAAGTATCATTATTAGATGCAAGTTTAGCTCAGGCATCAACTCGGCTATGCTTTAAGACACGTAAATGAAGAGGCAGGTATGTGGCACTCTGAGTTGAGGACATTGAAGGCAAGTAATGAGGATGGGGAGTCAGTGATGATACGATTGTTGTTGTTAGTAATGATTTGTACACGTTTGAGAAGAGTGAGTGTGCTGAGATGTAGAGGGAGATATTCTGTCAAGGTGGCATAAAGTGCATCATGTTCTCAGCCTTGTTTAGATGATGTAACCTGAACATACGCGTCTAGCTGTAATTTTGATCCATTGTAGTTCCTCTGGTCCACGGCTAACAGTACCATGCATGGATACTGTCGTCTGGCTCACCACACAAGAGCCTGAAGGATACCATGATCTTAACTTCAAATCATAATCTCTCATGGTGAATATTAACTTCTTAGGCTAAGTACTCTAGTGGTCACGGGACAGCTTAGGATAATTTTCAGTGCTTTATATTGTGCATTTTATGTCAAATCTGTTCTTACCTTTGCCATTCATGATGGTCCACGACTCGTGAGTTCAGTTCATACACATACATCTTGATCGAGTCTTTCATTGCAGACAGCGAGGTGCATCATTATTGATAGTTGTTATTTTATCGTTTGGGAGGGTCCCAGAAGATGACAGGCACCAGCGATAATTCGGGTATTGGGTGTGTGTTCTCGTTGTAAACACTGTCAGTGATGATGCAGTCGTTTGGTCTGGGGTGGGAGGAAGTTGTGATGAAATATGGGAGAAGCAAATGACGATGGAAGTAAAGAAATCAAAAGGAAGGAACACTATACAAAATGGAAGACAAGAGAGAGAGAGAGAGAGAGAGAGAGAGAGAGAGAGAGAGCTGATAGCCGATATTTTAGATTATGATAAAAAAATTACTGAAGAAAACATTATCAAAATTCTCCAAGAAATCCCCAGTTGTGGCTACACCGTCGTAACCTTACTCCTGTATAACCTTCTCCACCCTGTGTGATATTTGTGAAAAACACCTAAATAATCTTATGGCATCTTGGAACTTATATTGCTGGCAGCTCTCTCCGGAAACATTGAAGCCTTTACAGGATATATCTGTAGAGAAGAGCTCGTATTTTGTAGATGTCACAAAGAAGAGTTTCTATATATTCTATTCATGGTTGTCATAACAATATAACTCAAGGGAATACAGTTCCTACTTAATGTCTGACGAAAACATACGGAACTGCCACAAGAACACAAATCCTAATTTATAGCTGTAAAAAGAAAAGCATAAAATTGTCACGGAAACATAGTTCCTACTCCATAACTCTCAGAGGCTTATAGAACCAGAAGAGCGCTATAAAGCCGTACGAAAGCCGGATCCGCCAACTGATAATAGGATCGAAGTCCTTTTGCCCTGACTTGCAGCGAATTGAATTTTGTGAGAGTTTAAAAAGTTTGCTTCATATTGGACTCGGTGGAAGTGGTGTACATTTTTCTTCGGAGTCTTTTAACTGCATTTCCCAAAAGTTTGAACGGATTTCCTG